TTAACTTTAACATTTCACATTAACTTTAACATTTCACATGAACCATAACATTTCACATTAACTTTAACATTTCCCATTAACTTTAACATTTCACATTAACTTTAACATTTCACATTAACTTTAACATTTCACATTAACTTTAACATTTCACATTAACTTTAACATTTCCCATTAACTTTAACATTTCACATTAACTTTAACATTTCACATTAACTTTAACATTTCACATTAACTTTAACATTTCACATTAACTTTAACATTTCCCATTAACTTTAACATTTCCCATTAACTTTAACATTTCACATTAACTTTAACATTTCACATTAACTTTAACATTTCACATTAACTTTAACATTTCACATTAACTTTAACATTTCACATTAACTTTAACATTTCACATTAACTTTAACATTTCACATTAACTTTAACATTTCTTATTAACTTTAACATTTCCCATTAACTTTAACATTTCACATTAACTTTAACATTTCACATTAACTTTAACATTTCACATTAACTTTAACATTTCACATTAACTTTAACATTTCATATTAACTTTAACATTTCACATTAACTTTTACATTTCCCATTAACTTTAACATTTCCCATTAACTTTAACATTTCACATTAACTTTAACATTTCACATTAACTTTAACATTTCACATTAACTTTAACATTTCACATTAACTTTAACATTTCACATTAACTTTAACATTTCACATTAACTTTAACATTTCACATTGACTTCTACAATTTAAAATAGTCTAGTCTTGACATGCTTCAGTAATTATTAACCTCTATTTCTTATTAATTTCGACACAATTTCACATGAATTAAACCTCGACAGTTCACCTTCAACATTTCACATTAACTTCGACAATTGACTCTCATCTTGACATTCTTTAACCGAAGAAAATAGAAAAGATTCTGTTCGCCCAGGTTTTTGTGACGTCACATCTGCCCCACCTCTTGCTGATGCTAATTTCCCCTCCCTCTCCCAGCCTCCCCGTCCCCACCCCGTCAGCCTCTGAGTCACGCCGTTTTGGCGCCACCTACCTGAGCAGACGATCAATAACAAGGCGACCTCCCCACCCCACCCTATTCCACACAAGGTAACGGCTAAGACTCGAGGCCTCATTTCTCAGGTTGCTAGGCTACCATCTATGGAAAGATGGATGGGGGTGGGTGACAGATGGGGGAGGTGAATGACAGAGAAGCGGAAATTGCATGCAAGTTTTAATAGGAGGATTTGTCTTGTGGAACTCGGCTGGTGTCCAGGTTTAAAGAACACCTGGGTTAAGGGTTCAAAGAATACGGTTCAGGCGAACAGAATGCTGGGTTTAGGGTTCAGAGAATGCGGAGTACAGGCGAACAGAATGCTGGGTTTAGGGTTCAAAGAATACGGAGTTGAGGCAAACAGAATGCTGGGTTAAGGGTTCAAAGAATACGGTTCAGGCGAACAGAATGCTGGGTTTAGGGTTCAGAGAATGCGGAGTACAGGCGAACAGAATGCTGGGTTTAGGGTTCAAAGAATACGGAGTTGAGGCAAACAGAATGCTGGGTTTAGGGTTCAGAGAATACGGTTCAGGCAAACAGAATGCTGGGTTTAGGGTTCAAAGAATACGGAGTACAGGCGAACAGAATGCTGGGTTTAGGGTTCAGAGAATACGGAGTACAGGCGAACAGAATGCTGGGTTTAGGGTTCAGAGAATACGGAGTTGAGGCAAACAGAATGCTGGGTTTAGGGTTCAGAGAATACGGTTCAGGCGAACAGAATGCTGGGTTTAGGGTTCAGAGAATACGGTTCAGGCGAACAGAATGCTGGGTTTAGGAGTTGTGAGAATGGAATGAGTTTAAATGGAATATTTTAACTCATCAACCCTAAATTTGGTCAACATCTGCATCAACAAACACGAGATTTAAACAACAGCTGCAAAAAGAAAAATGATATTTAAACTGCTGCTTTAGACAATAATAATGGTTCCCTGACGTGGCCAACAGTTCCCTGTGTTCCCTGACGTGACCAACAGTTCCCTGACGTGACCAACAGTTCCCTGAAGTGGCCAATAGTTCCTGGCGTGGCCAACAATTCCCTGACGTGGCCAAAAGGTCCCTGACGTGGCCAACAGTTTCCTGATTTCCCTGACGTGGCCAACAGTTCCCTGACGTGGCCAACAGTCCCCTGACGTGGCCAACAGTTCCCTGACGTGGCCCATAGTTCCCTTACTTGGCCAACAGTTCCTTGACGTGGCCAACAGATCCCTGAAATCCCTGACGTGGCCAACAGTTCCCTGACGTGGCCAACAGTTCCCTGACGTGGCCAACAGTTCCCTGAGTTCCCTGACGTGGCCAACAGTTCCCTGACTTAGCCAACAGTTCCCTGACTTGGCCAACAGTTCCCTGACGTGGCCAACAGTTCCCTGACTTGGCCAACAGTTCCCTGAGTTCCCTGACGTGACCCACAGTTCCCTGACGTGGCCAATAGTTCCCTGGCGTGGCCAACAGTTCCCTGACGTGGCCCATAGTTCCCTGACGTGGCCAACAGTTCCTTGACTTGGCCAACAGTTCCCTGACGTGACATACAGTTCCCTGACGTGGCCAACAGTTCCTTGACGTGGCCAACAGTTCCCTGACGTGGCCCACAGTTCCCTGACGTGGCCAACAGTTCCCTGACGTGGCCCACAGTTCCCTGACGTGGCCAACAGTTCCCTGACTTAGCCAACAGTTCCCTGACTTGGCCAACAGTTCCCTGACGTGGCCAACAGTTCCCTGACTTGGCCAACAGTTCCCTGAGTTCCCTGACGTGACCCACAGTTCCCTGACGTGGCCAATAGTTCCCTGGCGTGGCCAACAGTTCCCTGACGTGGCCCATAGTTCCCTGACGTGGCCAACAGTTCCTTGACTTGGCCAACAGTTCCCTGACGTGGCCCACAGTTCCCTGACGTAACATACAGTTCCCTGACGTGGCCCACAGTTCCCTGACGTGGCCAACAGTTCCCTGACGTGGCCAACAGTTCCCTGCTCTCTACAAGACATCACGTAGAGCGAGGGTCAGGTGACACACGGGAAGCTGCACGATGGAGAGGGCAGACAACAGCTGACCTACACCGAGACAGGACAACAGCTGACCTACACCGAGACAGGACAACAGCTGACCTACACCAAGACAGGACAACAGCTGACCTACACCAAGACAGGACAACAGCTGACCTACACCAAGACAGGACAACCGCTGACCTACACCTATAGGACAACAGCTGACCTACACCAAGACAGGACAACAGCTGACCTACACCAAGACAGGACAACAGCTGACCTACACCAAGACAGGACAACAGCTGACCTACACCAAGACAGGACAACAGCTGACCTACACCAAGACAGGACAACAGCTGACCTACACCAAGACAGGACAACAGCAGACCTACACCAAGACAGGACAACAGCAGACCTACACCAAGACAGGACAACAGCTGACCTACACCAAGACAGGACAACAGCTGACCTACACCAAGACAGGACAACAGCTGACCTACACCAAGACAGGACAAAAGCTGACCTACACCAAGACAGGACAACAGCTGACCTACACCAAGACAGGACAACAGTTGACCTACACCAAGACAGGACAACAGCTGACCTACACCAAGACAGGACAACAGCTGACCTACACCTACAGAACAACAGCTGACCTACACCAAGACAGGACAACCGCTGACCTACACCAAGACAGGACAACAGCTGACCTACACGAAGACAGGACAACAGCTGACCTACACCAAGACAGGAGAACAGCTGACCTACACCAAGACAGGACAACAGCTGACCTACACCAAGACAGGACAACGACTGTACTGACGTCAGTGGTCAGTCAAATCTATGTGCTGAGGTCAGTGGTCAGTCAAATCTATCTGCTGAGGTCAGTGGTCAGTCAAATCTATGTGCTGAGGTCAGTGGTCAGTCAAATCTATGTGTTGAGGTCAGTGGTCAGTCAAATCTATGTGCTGAGGTCAGTGGTCAGTCAAATCTATGTGCTGAGGTCAGTGGTCAGTCAAATCTATGTGCTGAGGTCAGTGGTCAGTCAAATCTATGTGCTGAGGTCAGTGGTCAGTCAAATCTATGTGTTGAGGTCAGTGGTCAGTCAAATCTATGTGCTGAGGTCAGTGGTCAGTCAAATCTATGTGCTGAGGTCAGTGGTCAGTCAAATCTATGTGCTGAGGTCAGTGGTCAGTCAAATCTATGTGCTGACCAGGATAAAAAAAAAGCGCAGTACCTTAGATATTCGGTCACGTGATATTACATCACTGTCCTCGAAGCGTAGTAAACGATAGGAGATCACGTGAAGATGCTTTATGTGATCACGTGATGTGGTGGCCTACATCCAATCAGTACACTTGTTGTGTGTTGTATTTAGACAAAAGTTCACCTCATAATTAGTAACCCATAAGCAGAGTTTCTTCTAGGTCTCTCTCAGTGGAAGTCTCACTGTCTCCCTCAGAGCCTGGCTACTCCTTTCCCTAGGGGCACGTCCGCGCCACCCCTCCCCCGTGGACGAAATAGAAAATATAATTTCAGTGGAAAATATACTCATTGACCTGTGTCCGCCCCACTCCCCCCCCCCCCCAGGAAACTTTAAATACGCCCCCACCGGAAGTTTTAAGTGCCCTATCCCCCGGGAAGGAAAACGTCTGAAAGAAACCCTGCCTTATATCATACAAGTGCACCTGAGTTATACTGATGATTTTCCCCATGTTTATCCTGTTCATTAAAATCTCCGACCGTGTTACCCAATAATTATGTCCAACATTCCAAAGTTGTCTTAAACACCCTGAGAGACATGGCTAATTTTAAATGATGGCGAGTTTTGTTGAGTACTGCCACCACGTGCCAATGCCCCCGTTACATCTGGTGCCATACCTGTACAGGTAAACAGCAGTGCTCACACTGCTTTTCACCTGTGTGCAGACAACGTCACCAAATTTGGGGTCACACATTCGTGACGTAAGCGGTAAGGCTCTGTCAACATGGTTGACTGTGGCAGCCCTCGGTGCGCCCAAGAGAGACGTTCGTTTCGCAGAGAGCTCCAGTGTCTGAGTAAGAAGCTGCCTCTTGTGCTGGGTAAGGTTGTCTTTTGAATCTTTTACCTTCAGGGCCGTTTAGGTTCATTTTCTTTTAAAACCAGTGGTCACAGTGTGATAAAGTCTTGACAATCGAGTCGGTGCTCGCTGCCTACCGACGAAAAATGCGATCGATAAAACTCTCTCCGCAGTCCCTAACTTTACAGCCCGTCTTTCTTCTCGGTGGGAGCCACAGAGCTCGGCACATATCCTTGGTGCCCGGCCGTTACTGGCTGTTTGTTGCTTCATTGTGTGGATTCAGCCGTGTCTTTTCCATTTATCATAAGCATACAGTTAAATCAAGTCTTTGTAAACATTTAAAGTGGCCTCTTGAGTGTAGACTTATTCTCTGTGTTGTGGCAAGTCTCAGGTATGTCTTCACCCGTCAACACACCTTTGACACACCTTTGACACACCTTTGACACACCTTTGACACACCTATGAGTAACCCTTGACAAAGAGGACATCCAGAGAGGTGTAAAAAAAAAAATGAAATATAATTTTATTAACTCATCCTTTGGTTTAAATATTAATATTAAATAAGCAATGCTTATTTGTTAAATATAAAGTCTTTAAGTTAAATATTAATTGTTTAAGTATTTGTATTTTAATTACAAAATTATACATTTTGTAATATAATCATTGATTGATTTGATTATTTTTTGGTACTAACTAATGTAATCATTGATTGATCTGATTATTTTGGTACTAATTAATGTAATCATTGATTGATTTGATTATTTGCTGGTACTAATTAATGTAATCATTGATTGATTTGATTATTTGCTGGTACTAATTAATGTAATCATTGATTGATTATTTGCTGGTACTAATTAATGTAATCATTGATTGATTATTTGCTGGTACTAATTAATGTAATCATTGATTGATTTGATTATTTGCTGGTACTAATTAATGTAATCATTGATTTGATTATTTGCTGGTACTAATTAATGTAATCATTGATCTGATTATTTGCTGGTACTAATTAATGTAATCATTGATCTGATTGTTTGCTGGTACTAATTAATGTAATCATTGATGAATGTTTTGGCTCAGGGCTGGAGAGAATAGCAGCTGAGTTTGTTGATGAAGACACAGCCAAAAGTTTCCTAGACCCTTACCCAGGTTTGTGGCACAAATTCTTCCCACAGCTAACATTTGATCTAACATGAAAGTAGAGCCTTACCTGTTAGCTAGACAGAGATAAAACATTGACTAGTTGTTAAAGCGAAGATACTTTTAATATGAATACTTGAAAGGTTAAAAAAAAGCGGGTTAATAAATTATCTTTAAAGTGAACTTTTAACTGGTTATGGTTTTATGGGAAATTATTTTTTCTTAAAAAATTTTTTAATGACATCTTTATAATGATTTTAATAAAAAAAAAAACCGACCAAGTCAGTCGATTATCAACATTACAAATGGGGCAAACAAAGAAGTCTTGACAATATGATAAGTAATTGTTGAAGTTTTTAATTGTTAGTTTTTTAATTTTTAGGTATTTTAATTGTTAGGTATTTAATTGATAGGTAATTTAGTTGTTTGGTATTTAATTGTTTGGTAATTACTTATTAAGTATTTTAATTGTTAAGTATTTAATTGTTAAATATTGAATTGTTAAACATTAAATTATTACATATTTAATTGTTAGACATTTAATTGTTAAATATTTACTTGTTAAGTTTTTAACTGCTTATCATAGAGCTTGGATATAAACAGTATCAACTTATAGGCCTAATTACCAATGTTTTATATGGATATCAGTAAGATGTGATTTGAATACTTATTTGTTAGCATGTTAGGGGTTGTCCACATCTATTGTCAAATTCCTAAGGGGGGGAGGGGGGGGGGGGGGGGATAGAAAGGGTTATGTCACACTTTGTCCTTTGTTTTGAAAAACATTTTGAAATTTGAAACTGAATTTTAGCAGTGCTTCTGCTATTTAAAAGAAATTTTTTATAAATTTTAAAAGAAACTGATCAGTATAGAAATTGCTGTCTGAAAAAAATGAAAATGCAATAGGCTTGTTATCCACTATGATTGCTTTTTAATTAATATGAAGAATCTAATCTTTAAAATAAAAGATTTTTTTTAATAGATTGGGAGAAGGACATAAGCCAGGATTTTGAACCATCTAAAAGGTGTTTTCATTGTGAGAAAAAATTGCCTAATATTTATGTAAGTGAAACACAAAGTTTAACTTTTATTTATATATAAAATACAAAGTTTAATTCTCTGATATTTTTATGACTGTGAAATTTCACTTTTATTTTATGTTAATGAGATTCAAAGTTTATTTAAATAATATTTTACTCTTATTTTATGAATTTTTTAAAACTATTACTTTAATGTAGATGAAATAAGCAGTTTCACTATTAGGATCTCTTCATGTTAATGAAATTTGAAGCTAATGAAATTGTCAAATTGTTGAGCAATAAAGTTGATAAAACTTGAAGTACTTCTAGTAGTTTATCTGTTAGAATTGTAAATATTAGATTTTCTCCTTACCATAGTAACTTTAATGGATTAGTGCAATTTTTTTCAATGTGTAGAAGCGGATACAACGGATTATAGATGATGCTAAAAAAGGAAAAGAAAATAGTGGTAAAATATGTAAGTACTCTGTAGTACTTTGTGTTAACTGTATTCTCATAAAAGTAGGGGGGGGGGGGTTAAATATTGACTTTTGTGGACACAGGGGGGGGTTGGAGTCAATGTGGACATCCATATGTTGAAGTTTACATCAAATTACTTACATCTAAAATGAAAAAAATTAAAAACATAACTGCATTTGAATTAAATCAGCACTTCTCATGTTTAAAAAACACCAGCTCAATTGGTGAATAAATGTAGCAGATATGTAACTGTATACCACCCGACTAAAAAAAAGCAGCACATTTTTACAACCGAGTAGGGGGATCTTAAAACAATTCACGGTATTTCAAGTTTATCTTAAAACATTTCAAAGAATTGAATTATAAGTTTAAAAACAATTAGATGTAGACTAAGCTCTTAATATAAAGGGCCTTATTTTATACTAAGTCGTTTAAAATATACTTATTTTTTCAACACATTCTTGGCTCTACTTTTAATATTCAGGCCTAGAAAGGATGTTGCCAAAAATATCATATTTATAGTATAACAATGTACACATTGCATGCTATTAAACTAGTAATTTGGCAGCATGGTTTGAGAGATTTTTCAAAAAGTTTGTGGACTTTCACATGCCTCTCTTCTCTAATTAGGGTCGCTGCAAGATTTAATGCCTCTCTTCTCTAATTAGGCTTAAGGTCGCTGCAAGATTTAATGCCTCTCTTCCCTAATTAGGCTTAAGGTCGCTGCAAGATTTAATGCCTCTCTTCTCTAATTAGGCTTAAGGTCGCTGCAAGATTTAATGCCTCTCTTCTCTAATTAGGCTTAAGGTCGCTGCAAGATTTAATGCCTCTCTTCTCTAATTAGGATCACTGCAAGATTTAATGCCTCTCTTCTCTAATTAGGCTTAAGGTCGCTGCAAGATTTAATGCCTCTCTTCTCTAATTAGGCTTAAGGTCGCTGCAAGATTTAATGCCTCTCTTCTCTAATTAGGATCACTGCAAGATTTAATGCCTCTCTTCTCTAATTAGGCTTAAGGTCGCTGCAAGATTTAATGCCTCTCTTCTCTAATTAGGCTTAAGGTCGCTGCAAGATTTAATGCCTCTCTTCTCTAATTAGGCTTAAGGTCGCTGCAAGATTTAATGCCTCTCTTCTCTAATTAGGCTTAAGGTCGCTGCAAGATTTAATGCCTCTCTTCTCTAATTAGGCTTAAGGTCGCTGCAAGATTTAATGCCTCTCTTCTCTAATTAGGCTTAAGGTCGCTGCAAGATTTAATGCCCTTCTGCATTGACTTCTACACACATGGCTTTGGACGTGAGCTGTTCAGTGATGTGGTGAAGGCTCACTTTCTGACAGCTGTGTCTGACATGAAGGAGGAGACAGAGGCCACACCCCCTAATGATCTGCTGGCCAGGCTCAGGGTGCCTCATTTAACAGGGAGGTAAGTTGGCCAAGTTTTGCTGAAATCCTGATTACACATTGGTGACAGGGAGGTAAGTTGGCCATGTCTTGCTGAAATCCTGCTTACACATTGGTGACAGGGGGGTAAGTTGGCCAAGTCTTGCCTAAATCCTGCTTACACATTGGTGACAGGGAGGTAAGTTGGCCATGTCTTGCTGAAATCCTGCTTACACATTGGTGACAGGGAGGTAAGTTGGCCATGTCTTGCTGAAATCCTGCTTACACATTGGTGACAGGGGGGTAAGTTGGCCAAGTCTTGCTGAAATCCTGCTTACACATTGGTAACAGGGGGGGGGGGGGGGTTGGGTGGCCAAGTGTTGCTGAAATCCTGCTTACACATTGGTGACAGGGGGTTTGGGTGGCCAAGTCGTGCTTACTTACTTTTTGAAACTCAAATATGGCAACTTGTAATAGAGAGACTTAAATGATTTATTTTGTCCGTACAGATCCAATAGAAGACAAGACTCAGCTAGGTCGACCTACACGGACGAGGACCTACAGTCTGCTGTGTCTGACATTGCCAGCGGCAGGCTGGGCACCAGAAGAGCCTCAATGATTTATGGGATACCACGCTCCACTCTGAGAAGTAAAATAGTCAAATGTGAAGCAGACACTGGCAGGGATGAGTTTGTTGATGAGAGGCCACAACTGGTGGAGCCTGGTCTCTTTGGTCTGTGTGAGTCCATGCTAGCTCCCATGTCCTTCCTGCCTGCCTATCCCATGGCCATCAAGCTGGAGCAGGAAGATGCCAGCCTGCTGGTGGAACACAGGCTTAGCCAGATCAGAAGGATGCACAACTTGAATGGCTTGAGCCATCCCAGGCCTGCCCATGCCAATCACTTAAAACTTCCACTCCTAGTCAACGTTGTTCGCAAGCTGGTCAATCAAAAGCTGCAGGAAATCAAGCAGAACTATGGCTTAAAGAACTCTTTTGAGGCCAAAGTTAAACCAACTCAGGAGAGTGAATTCAGTCCCTTTGCACAGTTCCTGCCAGCTTTCTCTCCCTTCCTTTCAGTTAGCAGCAATGATGAGAACTTGACAGCGCCAATGTACAAGCACATCATGGAGAGTATCTACAGCAACATGATGAAGGAGGAGAACCCAGTACCCAAACCCTTTGGTAAAGTCAACGAGAGCAGCCGCATTGGTGACACACTGAAAGATATTATTGCCAAAACTATCTCAGAAAAGATGAGATTCAGAGATGGAAGTTCAGATGAGAGTTCCCTTCAGTCCAACCCTGAAGTCTGCAAAAGTCTGCTAGGCAAGTCTGTAGAGAGTTCCCAAAGAAAGGCCGTCAAGTTGTCTGGTTGCTCCCCCCCAAAATGTAAGAAGAAAGATGCTGGTAAAGCCGGCAGCTCTGGGGAGTCAGGCAAGAAGACCCGGCCCAAGCGGGGTCAATACCGCAAGTACAACTCTCAGCTTTTGATGGATGCGGTCAAGGCCGTCCAGCGGGGGGAGATGAGTGTCCACAGGGCAGGCAGCTACTTTGGTGTGCCCCACTCCACTCTGGAATATAAGGTCAAAGAGAGGCATTTGTTGAGGCAGAAGAAATGCCGAGACTCCCAGTCCCCTTCCAGCTCTAAGGAAGACGCCCCCAGTGCCTGCAGCCCCACGATGGAGGAGGACAGCAAGCCACTGAACGGCTCAGCTTCTCCCCTACCAGTGCAACTGAAAACTCCCTCAACATCCAAGTGTGGGCTCTCCCCCACAGCTCCGTGTGCCTTAGGTGTGCCAACCCCGCCCGATGGCCTGGCCTGGTTCCAGCCTTACATGACGTCCCCACAGCTGGAGGTCCAGCCAGCTCTGAGCACCTCAGCATCAGAGCTGTTGATCCAGCTCCAGCACAAGGTCCAGGCCAAGTGTGGCTCAGGCTGTTGATCCAGCTCCAGCACAAGGTCCAGGCCAAGTGTGGCTCAGGCTGTTGATCCAGCTCCAGCACAAGGTCCAGGCCAAGTGTGGCTCAGGCTGTTGATCCAGCTCCAGCACAAGGTCCAGGCCATGTGTGGCTCAGGCTGTTGATCCAGCTCCAGCACAAGGTCCAGGCCAAGTGTGGCTCAGGCTGTTGATCCAGCACAAGGTCCAGGCCAAGTGTGGCTCAGGCTGTTGATCCAGCTCCAGCACAAGGTCCAGGCCAAGTGTGGCTCAGGCTGTTGATCCAGCTCCAGCACAAGGTCCAGGCCAAGTGTGGCTCAGGCTGTTGATCCAGCACAAGGTCCAGGCCAAGTGTGGCTCAGGCTGTTGATCCAGCTCCAGCACAAGGTCCAGGCCAAGTGTGGCTCAGGCTGTTGATCCAGCTCCAGCACAAGGTCCAGGCCAAGTGTGGCTCAGGCTGTTGATCCAGCACAAGGTCCAGGCCAAGTGTGGCTCAGGCTGTTGATCCAGCTCAAGCACAAGGTAGAGGCCAAGTGTGGCTCAGGCTGTTGATCCAGCTCCAGCACAAGGTCCAGGCCAAGTGTGGCTCAGGCTGTTGATCCAGCTCCAGCACAAGGTCCAGGCCAAGTGTGGCTCAGGCTGTTGATCCAGCTCCAGCACAAGGTCCAGGCCAAGTGTGGCTCAGGCTGTTGATCCAGCACAAGGTCCAGGCCAAGTGTGGCTCAGGCTGTTGATCCAGCTCCAGCACAAGGTCCAGGCCAAGTGTGGCTCAGGCTGTTGATCCAGCTCCAGCACAAGGTCCAGGCCAAGTGTGGCTCAGGCTGTTGATCCAGCACAAGGTCCAGGCCAAGTGTGGCTCAGGCTGTTGATCCAGCTCCAGCACAAGGTCCAGGCCAAGTGTGGCTCAGGCTGTTGATCCAGCTCCAGCACAAGGTCCAGGCCAAGTGTGGCTCAGGCTGTTGATCCAGCACAAGGTCCAGGCCAAGTGTGGCTCAGGCTGTTGATCCAGCTCAAGCACAAGGTAGAGGCCAAGTGTGGCTCAGGCTGTTGATCCAGCTCCAGCACAAGGTCCAGGCCAAGTGTGGCTCAGGCTGTTGATCCAGCTCCAGCACAAGGTCCAGGCCAAGTGTGGCTCAGGCTGTTGATCCAGCTCCAGCACAAGGTCCAGGCCAAGTGTGGCTCAGGCTGTTGATCCAGCTCCAGCACAAGGACCAGGCCAAGTGTGGCTCAGGCTGTTGATCTGGCCTGCACTAAGGACAGGGTTGCTGACCGCCTGGCTCTCTACAATCAGTCCATTTAACTTGCTTGTGATTGTCTGTTTTTTTAGGTCTCTTCAGCTCGTCAGGTATTTAATAAAGAATGTAGAGAGCCATGACAAGGAGGTATTTGAAGAGATGTAGAGAGCCATGACAAGGAGGTATTTGAAGAGATGTAGAGAAATTATGACAAGAAGGTATTTGAAGAGATGTAGAGAGCCATGACAATGAGGTATTTGGAGAGATGTAGAGAGCCATGACAAGGAGGTAGCCAAGCATAATGAAGCTAACACACATTCCAGCCCTGCTACAGACAGGGCAACCATTTGTTACTGCACACAGATTTAATTCTAGTTCATGTTTTTTCTTGTTGCTTATGGATCATGCACATACCCTACAAACGAATGTGTGTACCCCCCTCATTTCACACTTCCATAGTCGCACCACCTCATGTTTCCCCTATAGAGTCCTTGACCCTACTGGCCAAAGTTTTGTCGTCAACAGTTTATAATGGCCAAAGTTTTGTCAACAGCAGTTTATTATGGCCAAAGTTTTGTCAAGAGCAGTTTATTATTGCCAAAGTTTTGTCAACAGCAGTTTATTATGGCCAAAGATTTGTCAACAGCAGTTTATTATGGCCAAAGTTTTGTCAACAGCAGTTTATTATGGCCATTTTGTTGACAAGTTTGTTAGGCCCAAAGCTTTGCACAAATAAAAACTAGGAACAGCAAAGGCACTGTAATATAACATTGGTCTATATCACCCCCTAATGCTTCAAATTATGGAAAATGTGCATGATCCTTATTGTATGTAACCCTATTAAAAATACCATTTGGATATTATTTTTGCATTTGATCTTATCTAGTCTCACAATCTTGTTTTTTCTCTCAGATTTTTCTTATTAGAATAAGAAAATCAAATATTAAGGAACTTATTTACTTCAGCTAGTATTTGTTATGGAACTTCAATAGCTACAGCTAGTATTTGTTAAGAAACTTCAATAGCTACAGCTAGTATTTGTTAAGAAACTTCAATAGCTACAGCTAGTATTTGTTTAGAAACTTCAATAGCTACAGCTAGTATTTGTTAAGAAACTTCAATAGCTACAGCTAGTATTTGTTAAGGAACTTCAATAGCTACAGCTAGTGTTTATTAAAGAACTTTCTAGCTACAGCGAGTATTTGTTAAGGAACTTCCTAGTATTTGTTAAGGGGTAGGCTCAGGAAAAAAACTTCGTAATTAATAAGCCGTTTTATTTATTTGTGTATGTATAAGTTAGGGTACTTAAAGGAAAATATTTGCATGTACCAGGAACTCTTCTGAAAATATGGTTGCCATGGCAACAGCTGCCATCTTGGAAAAACTACCTTTTGTGGCATTCAAAAATTTTATAAAGTAACATATAAACCGCCATATAATCATTGATCCTTCTTGTACTAAACCTAATAGAGTCTGTTGGCTAGTATTTGTTAGGAAACTTTCATAGCTACAGTAGTATTTTGGTGAGCAACTTTCTCTGTTACAGCTAGTATTTTTTGGTGCCAAAAGTTAAACCAGAGCTTGTTTTGTGATAGAATAAGTAACTGATGGAACCTACCCAAAGTGTTCTGATGGTTCAACAGTATTCTTGTGGTCCTATTTGGTGGTAGGTGATTTTTATGGTCCCATTTGGTGGTACTTGATGGGTCCTTGTGGTCCCATTTGGCGGTACTTGATGGGTCCTTGTGGTCCCATTTGGTGGTACTTGATGGGTCCTTGTGGTCCCATTTGGTGGTACTTGATGTGTCCTTGTGGTCCCATTTGGTGGTACTTGATGGGTCCTTGTGGTCCCATTTGGTGGTACTTGATGGGTCCTTGTGGTCCCATTTGGTGGTACTTGATGGGTCCTTGTGGTCCCATTTGGTGGTACTTGATGGGTCTTTGTGGTCCCATTTGGTGGTACTTGATGGGTCCTTGTGGTCCCATTTGGCAGTATTTGTTATGGGGAAACCAGGCAAAAAAATTTTTTTTAATCTGTGACCTCAACTTTTGCTCTATACATGTACTCAGTCATTGAATTGTCAACAGTGTCTTTTAATCAACCGGGTTGGATAACTCTGGTTTGTTATTTCAATTATATTTTGATTGCCTGTAAGAAGATGTGTGTATTTACTTATTTTATTATGGCTATAAAGAAATTTGTTTATACTTACCTGAGCATAACAGATAATTTCTATCTACAAATAGATCATGTATATTGTGTCAACTTATTTTTGCTGTCCAGATATTTCTATGGTGCTACACTTTTTACTAAAGAAACGAATCCTTTTCTAGTCAAATGTCTTGATATGAATGTATTTAGTAACCAAGTTTGATATCAGTGTATCTAGTCAATGCTTTTTGCAACTTTTAAACACATGAATGGCAGAGTTTGTGCTGATATTTAGTTCTGCTCCTTCAAGGCCTGAAGTCTGAGAAGATGGAGTGTGCCTTGTTTCCTATGTAAATAGATTGAAATCTTTTATAAGAAGCTGTCCATTAGCTCCATCTTTACATCTGTGCTGAAGTTGATGTTTGGTCAACCTTTGCTCTCATGGTGTCATCTCAAGCTTTTAAAAATTTCTTAAATATGTTTGGGGTACACAATTTTTTTAAAACTTTCCTTTTGACTATTTCTTGGTGTCCATGTGTTGGCCAGCTGTGTGTTGGCCAGCTGTGTATTGGCCAGCTGTGTCCATGTGTTGGCCAGCTGTGTCCATGTGTTGGCCAGCTGTGTCCATGTGTTGGCCAGCTGTGTATTGGCCAGCTGTGTCCATGTGTTGGCCAGCTGTGTCCATGTGTTGACCAGCTGTGTCCATGTGTTGGCCAGCTGTGTCCATGTGTTGGCCAGCTGTGTATTGGCCAGCTGTGTGTTGGCCAGCTGTGTCAATGTGTTGGCCAGCTGTGTCCATGTGTTGGCCAGCTGTGTCCATGTGTTGGCCATCTGGTGTCTACCGAGTAATTAGCAGAGTGCTCTATTTTGTATCAACACTTGTATTGGTTGTGGTTTTTCCACCTGAACCTGTTTGCCATTTATATCTTTGCCTTATTATGTCTGTGTGGGTGGGGTCACTACATTTCAGATAAAATTATTTTATTTAATGATAATTTTTTAAACTTGCACATGTTTTCAAACACGAATTTATATTTTTTTAAATGATTTTTTAAAAATATGTTAGGTATTAATGAGATAAAGAATGTAATAATTACTTCATTAAAATACTTTCTTTGTCTACACAACTCAGTTTCAATCAGAGGCGTAGCGATCCTTCCCGACGCCCAGGGACAAACTTTCAGTTTGGCATTTGGCCCCCCCCCCCCCCCCCCCCCCCCCCACCACATATATTTTTTTATATTTATAATGCAAAACTGCAGCTAAAATGAGCTTTTAATATTTTTTTTTTACAACCCTTTTTGGCACCCCCTAGGGTCGGCGCTCCGGGACATATGTACCCCCCCCCCCCCCCCCCCACACCTCCTCGCTACGCCTCTGATTTCAATCAAAACATTTACATGTAGAAAAAAGTTGTCTATTTAGTTTTGAGAATGCAAGCATTTAAATTTGAAACTTGAAAAAGTTATCTTTTTTGTTTTAAGAATCTAAGAATTTAAAGAAAAAAGTAATCTATTTTGTTTTGAGATTTGTAATCAAAACATAAAATGTTTATTTTGTTTTGTTGAATGTAGATGGATAGAAATTTGAAACAGCTGAATTTGTATAGGGTAAAAAATGTGTCTTAATTGTGTAACTAGGTGCATTTTGTCAAATTTTAGTCTAATTGTGTAACTAGGTGCATTTTGTCAAATTTTAGTCTAATTGTGTAACTAGGTGCATTTTGTCAAATTTAAGTCTAATTGTGTAACTAGGTGCATTTTGTCAAATTTAAGTCTAATTATGTAACTAGGTGCATTTTGTCAAATTTAAGTCTAATTGTGTAACTAGGTGCATTTTGTCAAATTTTAGTCTAATTGTGTAACTAGGTGCATTTTGTCAAATTTAAGTCTAATTGTGTAACTAGGTGCATTTTGTCAAATTTTAGTCTAATTGTGTAACTAGGTGCATTTTGTCAAATTTAAGTCTAATTGTGTAACTAGGTGCATTTTGTCAAATTTAAGTCTAATTGTGTAACTAGGTGCATTTTGTCAAATGTAAGTCTAATTGTGTAACTAGGTGCATTTTGTCAAATGTAAGTCTAATTGTGTAACTAGGTGCATTTTGTCAAATGTAAGTCTAATTGTGTAACTAGGTGCATTTTGTCAAATTTAAGTCTAATTGTGTAACTAGGTGCATTTTTTCAAATTTAAGTCTAATTGTGTATCTAGTTGCATTGTGTTAAATTTAAGTCTAATTGTGTATCTAGTTGCATTGTGTTAAATTTAAGTCTAATTGTGTAACTAGGTGCATTGTTTATCCATTATGCCCATCAGTTGATGGGTTGTGGGATTAATAATTTAATTTGGTCATACATAGTAGGTGTTGTTTGAATGGTTAGATTAATTCATGTGTGTGGATGATTTCTAACTGGCTAAAATTGTGTGTGGTTTAATTATTGTAAATTTAGTTGTGTGGTTTATTGATTGTAGATTATTGTCCACAAAAATGATCTCTGCCATTTTTATGGCTACATATTTGATGTAAATATATTTTTTCAATGATTCTTTATGACTTACATTCCAAATGTTATACATATTAAGGAAATTTACGCTCAATTTTTAACTAGAAAATTTGGGTTAAAAAAATGACTGTTGTTGATTGAAAATGTCCTTAGCTACCTTTTAACAATGGCCACTCTTGTTGGTCTAACTCATTAACTTCAGTTAGAAATATTTTTAAAAAATCCTTTCTTCCGTACAAAACCAAGTTTTTCATGCTAATGTTACAATAAGTTACATGTTAAAAGAATATGACACTTAAAAACTAAGTCCTGTTTATTCCATTGCTATCTGGATGTGTGCATTAATTTTACTACAACTATCTTGTTCAATTCATTGAAAATTTGGCCAGAGATGTGTGGGCTCTAAAAAAAAAATCCAACAACTTGTTTCTTTCTGAGCATAATGGTTGTTAATTGTTTTAGCATTTTGTTTCAATATGTTTTCTTAGAATGCCTTTATTTATTAAGTTACTTCTTAAACTTAAGGTCTTAAGTATTGTTTGCATTTTATTTTGACATCGCTCTGATTTGCTTCCTTTCGTGCTAGTTTCAAAGTGCCTTTTATCATTTTTTTTACAGATTTGCTCAAAACAATTGAGCATGTTTGGCTCCCCCAGATGGCCATCCAGCTCTATAGCTCCCATCATTAACAAACATCAGTTGTATTTTAACCTGTTATATCTAAGGTGATTGTCCAAGCCAGTCTAACAATCAATGCCTTTGGTCAGTGCCTTTAGGAAGTGAGTCAACACTTGTCTGACCCCCACCTCTTACATCCCCCCCCCCCCAGAGATAGTAGACCCCTAACCAGACCCCTATAAACCTCTTACATTCACCATCTCACAGACAGCCCTACCAACAGTAAGGTCATACAGGTAGGAACTGTTGACTGAAAACCTAGTCATTTTACTGTTGCTATGGTTACATTCTACAAATGAGAACCAATTTGTGAAAAATCAAATCAAATAAAAATGGAGTATTTATTTTTAAAATGTAACATTTTTGCAATCAAACTCAATTTAAAATGAAGTAAAAGTTGACTGTCTTTCATAAGTTGATCAAGATGGTCAGCCTGTCCATGAAATGGCTGACCTACATTTCATCAGTAGAACAATATTGTCAGCCTATCTATTGGCTGACCTGAGCAGCTGGGTCTAGTTTTTTATTGGTGTAACTCTAAAGAGTTTTTCAATTTTTCTTAGCTTTGGCTTGTCCATATGTTTGTACTTTTATTGTGTGCAATACTCTTGATCTGGTTCATATTAAATCTTTGGTATCACTGGCTGTCTTGACTTTTTATTTTTGTAGAACTATAGAGTGAATCATTGGAGAGTTTCAGCTGTCTGTGTGTGTGTGTGGTGGGGCAGTACATGAAGTAAAGACTCATTTATTGGTGGTGGTGGGGGGAGGTGAAGACAAAACCATGACTGTATTTGTTTGCATTAATTAAAAAAGTGTACCAGATCTCAACTCAATGGGTAGGCTCTGTAATAGTTAGATCACTCCATTATTGTTAAGTCCATGGATGGTTATATGTTGTAGATGTTTGTTTGACACAGATTTTATTGAACATATGTTTTACATAGCTAAACATCATGGGACACAGATTTTATTGAACATATGTTTTACATAGCTAAACATCATGTGATACAGATTTTATTGAACATGTGTTTTACATAGCTAGACATTATGTGATACAGATTTTAGTAAACATGTGTTTTACATAGCTAAACATCATGGGACACAGATTTTATTGAACATGTGTTTTACATAGCTAGACATTATGTGATACAGATTTTAGTAAACGTGTTTTACATAGCTAAACATCATGTGACACAGATTTTATTGAATATGTGTTTTACATAGCTAAACATCATGTGACACAGATTTTATTGAACATAGCTAGACATTATGTGATACAGGTTTTATTGAACATAGCTAGACATCATGTGATACAGATGAGGTTACCTGTGTACACCATACAACTAACTAGAAATTATTTTGTGTACGTTTGTCTTTCATTTGTGACAAACATTGACGCTCAAAATCTTTCCATATGACCCAGTCAAATCGACCCCTGACAAAACAACCCAGTCAAAATAGCCTGTCAAAAGGGCCCAGACATTTTGGCTCCTGTCAAATTGACTCGTGACATATAGACTCCCAAAAAATGGGCTCCCGACATTAAGGCTCCCGACCAATGGACTCCTGGTAAATAGGCTCATGACATATTGGCTCCTGACAAAATGACTGCAGACATATTGGCTCCTGACAAAATGACTGCAGACATATTGGCTCCAGACAAATGAATCAAGTGACTACTATTGGCATAAATGCAACCATTTATTTGTCCTACCTCCAATACCACTATAACTAGGTAGTCCAAACTGAAATTAACTATTGATTGCAGACTTCTGGAGTGAGTATGTCATGAAAGAACTTTTAATTGTAAGGTCTATGCCACAAATTTTATAAAAATATCTCAATAAATAAAAAAGTTATGCGATTTTTAAAAAAGCAAAATTTGGTAAAAAACTGATTTTCAAAAAGTGCCATTTTTGAGAACCCATATTTTTTAAACTAAATAACATAGAAGTGTAGAAATTGGTAAAGTTGCTGCAAAGTTTGTAATATATATGCCCAATTTTTTTCAGTCATCTAAAATGAGTCTTTCTAAGGTAAAAAAATAATTGAAAATGACAAAAATGCGTTTTGGTCACTTTTATTTTCATTAAAAAAAAAAAAATTCAATTTTTTTTTTTTTTTTGCTTTGGAATAACTCTAAAACTATTGTGTTGGTAACATCAACGTGGAAAAATGTGTTAATTATTTCCAAAAATCACATGAGTTAAAATATTATTTTAAAAAATACCACAGTTATCTAGTGCAGGAGAAACAGAATCAAAATTTAGTAGAGTAAATGTAATGTAATGTAGTTTAATAAAGACGTGATGCCTACAAGTGATGCAGCAGTTGATGCCACATGCTTTGGTTTCTTTTCAAACCTATACGGTTGATAACTGCTTTGGGGGAACAGTTTTTAAAACTACAACTCCACATCTTTGTACGTCTTGTTTCCCTCAACCTTGATCTTGTGGAGCATCAAGAGTAAGTAATATGTTTTGGGAATTGTAGGGGGGAGTGGGGTCTTGGCCTTCTTCCCTTCCCTTGTAAGGAAAGTTCTGGATAGGCCACTGTAAATGTCTCCAGCTATGGAATAAACAATTGATTTAGTGATTAATAAAATAGAATTAAATTTACTACCAGCCTATTGTGTAGGCCTACTATTTGTCCTATGACTATAACTGGAAACATATGAAAAAGCCTGAAAACACCTTTTTGTTAAAAGTAATTTATACTTTATATATATTTTTAAGAGTAATTCTACTGAATGAAATTTGAAATATTCGTTGCTTGTGCCACACTGGTTGAGATATCCAATAATGAAGATGCCATACTGTGGTTCTCAACATCCTATAGGACAACTTAACTGTCCTTCATTGTTACTATTATATGCATATAAAATAAATAAATAATGAGAAATACTACTAGTACTACTTACACTTACAACTAATATAACATTTAAAACTAAGTCACAACATGTAGAATCTTAATAAATTGCACCACCATCTAAAAATTGATCTGGTACATTTTATTACGGAGACTGGCGCAGACCATTTCACATTATTTAGCAGGGGAATCAGAATCAGAGCACACAACAGAAAATAAAAAAAATTAATCACATTAGTCCTTAAAATAAAGTGTCTTTTGTTTTAAAGAAATCGATAAAAATGTATAGTTATTATAATTATACATTTCTTTTGTGTTTCATTAATATTTTATAAGTATTTAACCTTCGTTCCCTGTAAATAATTGAGTTCGTCCACATAGTAACCAGGATAGTCTGGTGGCCATTTTGAATTTGTCGATTCATAATTTTGACGTGATAGTCCAGATAAACTGTAGTAATACGACCCTATCATTGATCCCAGTCAATAGATTTTAAAGAATTAGTAAACACTAGCATCTAATAGTTAAGTGCATCCATATTTTAAGTCCCTAGAATGTCCTGAATTAAATAGCTTCACGTCTAAACACACCCTGTGTACAAGCGTAGTTCACACGCTAAAACCGTGGACTTGAAGCGTTCAAATTTACATTAATAACGTGTACTAATTAAACCAAACTGACATTCAAACTTAAAATTCATTTATTAAAATGGAAATGAAACTTTAAAAATGATACTTACAACTTGTTTGAAGGCTCTAGCAAGGGTAAAATCCGTTTAGCATCATCGGTCGTCAACCTTTAAAACCGTTCGGCGAGCAACTTACTTGGGGCTGAAAGTCGACTCGAGGGTTATATGTTTATTGGGGGTACGGCTTCGCGACCGTAAATCAGAAATACTTGAATTTACAACACAAAGTAGTTATAAAACTGAACTTTACATCGGTGTAAAAATTGAAACAGAATTAGTTTGTTTCCGTGTATATATCGTCATTTAAAGTTTAAAATCTGTATTTTTTAAATGAAATAAACAAGTTATTTTTTCAATTTATACATCAAACGATAGCCTAGAATTCGATCTTTAAAATGACATTAAGATTATGCTTCTACGATGCTTCGTCGCGAAGCCGCGACCAAATAAAACAGTGTGGGGTCGATCGGTACACGCAAAACGGTGAAATTTGTTGACGTAACTGATACTTTTCAAACAAATATAAAACACATTCAGACATGTGTTACAGATATAAAAATACCAGATTACGACAGATAAAGACTTAAACTTTATTGACATATAATTTTTATTCTTATAGGACAACTAGAAGTAGTGAAATTTTTTTTTTGAAAACCGCAAAAACTGACCCTTAAACGCACTTTTTCGCCAGTTTGGACTACCTACTATAACCTCTTTTAAGTACCTGAATGACATTTTTTTTAAGGAACCAACAACAATTGACTAATTGGCCCTTAACAGCTAAATTCCACCAATTTAAAATTTTTGATCATGTTTAATTTACAACAGTAAAGATCTGTTGCTTAAAAATGAGCACAGAAGTTTAAATATATGATATACATGATGTTTACAGGATAACGACATTTTGTTTTGATAACCTACAAGCATAATGCAGGTAGGATAAAATAATATAAAAATAAGGCCTGCTGAACAAGAAATGCAAACGTATCACATAGAGTGTTGGCTAAGCTGTATTGATGAAAAGGTCCCACTAGCAGGTGTCATATTCAACAAGGGCGTTTTGCCTGGAGATTTATTTTACTGACTGTATTAACAAGGGCCCTTTGGTCAGGAGCCGTTTTGTCATGAGTTGTAATGACACAGCTGTTTTGTGGGAAGCCAAAATGATGGGAGCCTATTTTTTGGGAGTTGTAATGACGAGAGCTGTTTAGTCCAGAGCCAATTTGACTGGAGCATATATATCAGAAGCCTAAATGATGGGAGCCTATTTTTCGGGAGCCTTATTGACTAGAGCCCTTTTGTTGGGAGCCTAAATGACGGGAGCCGATATAACGGGGTCCATTTGTCTCTGGCCATTTTGACGGGGTCGATTTGACAGGGCTCTTTAGTCATCTGAAACGGTAGTTAAATGCAGCAGTGAAATGGAGAAAGTATCATTACAAATCTATATCCAGTATATTCAGTGACAAACATTTGGTTAAAAATGCATTGAATTTATCTGGCCAGGAGCTAGTCCAAGGTTTTATTATGTTCTGAAGATCTCTATAGCACACACAATCACAGAGCTTTGATTATCACACAAGATGGACGGATTTTATAACAAATGTCACTAATTGGAATCATAAGGTTTATGACTATAGGGAATGTTGATTAAGTATAAAATAATTATAAATGCAAAATCACACACACAAAAAGTCAGCATTTCGGCAGTTATGACATACTATCAACAAAGCTAAACATACAAGAAGATTGGTGACGACTTTCAACATCAAGCAGATTGGTGACAATCTGTCACCTCTAAAGCTGTTAAAAGAGCAGTATTTGGTCAGGCCTACTTTTGTCATGTATTTAGTCAGGCCTACTTTTGTCATGTATTTAGTCAGGCCTACTTTTGTCATGTATTTAATAAGCCCTACTTTTGCCATGTATTTAGTCAGGCCTACTTTTGTTATGTATTTAGTCAGCCCTACTTTTATCATGGAATTAGTCAGGCCTACTTGTCATGTATTTAGTCAGGCCTACTTGTCATGTATTTAGTCAGGCCTACTTTTATCATGTATTTAGTCAGCCCTACTTTTATCATGTATTTAGTCAGCCCTACTTTTATCATGTATTTAGTCAGCCCTACTTTTATCATGTATTTAGTCAGCCCTACTTTTATCATGTATTTAGTCAGCCCTACTTTTATCATGTATTTAGTCAGGCCTATGACTAGTTGTCTAGTCTGCCTGTGGTCAGCTTGCAGGTGGGTAGAGACTGGAGGAGAGATTTAAAAAGGAAAGATTGGCCAGGTGTGAGCTGCTGAATGAGGTGTCTGGTGTGTCGGAGGAGAAGCTGGCGTGCCCTAGGTTGTAGTCTCTAGAGGCCATCAGGTCTGGCTGGAACTCCCCACTGGACATGAGGCTCTGGGCTCTGGTCTCAGATCTGGCAATGATTTCATTGATCTCTTCCATACGTGACTTCTGTTTCCTGGCACAGTCAACAAGGTCAGATGTTAACAGAGTACCAATGGGCTGATTTACAACAAAATGTTAACAGAGTACCAATAGGCTGATTTACAACTAAATGTTAACATCAGAGTACCAATAGGTTGATTTACAACTAAATGTTAACATCAGAGTACCAATAGGCTGATTTACAACTAAATGTTAACATCAGAGTACCAATAGGCTGATATACAACTAAATGTTAACATCAGAGTACCAATAGGCTGATTTACAACTAAATGTTAACATCAGAGTACCAATAGGCTGATTTACAACTAAATGTTAACATCAGAGTACCAATAGGCTGATTTACAACTAAATGAGACAGAGTACCAATAGGCTGATTTACAACTAAATGTTAACATCAGAGTACCAATAGGCTGATTTACAACTAAATGTTAACATCAGAGTACCAATAGGCTGATTTACAACTAAATGTTAACATCAGAGTACCAATAGGCTGATTTACAACTAAATGTTAACTGAGTACCAATAGGCTGATTTACAACTAAATGTTAATAGAGTACCAATTGGCTGATTTACAACTAAATGTTAATAGAGTACCAATTGGCTGATTTACAACTAAATGTTAACAAAGTACCAATAGGCTGATTTACAACTAAATGTTAACATCAGAGTACCAATAGGCTGATTTACAACTAAATGTTAACATCAGAGTACCAATAGGCTGATTTACAACTAAATGTTAACATCAGAGTACCAATAGGCGGATTTACAACTAAATGTTAACATCAGAGTACCAATAGGCGGATTTACAACTAAATGTTAACATCAGAGTACCAATAGGCTGATTTACAACTAAATGTTAACATCAGAGTACCAATAGGCTGATTTACAACTAAATGTTAACATCAGAGTACCAATAGGCTGATTTACAACTAAATGTTAACATCAGAGTACCAATAGGCTGATTTACAACTAAATGTTAATAGAGTACCAATAGGCTGATTTACAACTAAATGTTAACATCAGAGTACCAATTGGCTGATTTACAACTAAATGTTAACATCAGAGTACCAATAGGCTACTAAATGTTAACATCAGAGTACCAATTGGCTGATATACAACTAAATGTTAACATCAGAGTACCAATAGGCTGATTTACAACTAAATGTTAACATCAGAGTACCAATAGGCTGATTTACAACTAAATGTTAACATCAGAGTACCAATAGGCTGATTTACAACAAAATGTTAACATCGGAGTACCAATAGGCTGATTTACAACAAAATGTTAACATCAGAGTACCAATAGGCTAATTTACAACTAAATGTTAACATCAGAGTACCTATTGGCTACTAGATGTTAACATCAGAGTACCAATAGGCTGATATACAACTAAATGAGACAGAGGTGACTTACTTATCTGTCTTAGCACTACGTTTCCTGATGGTGAAAATGGTTTGTCGCAAGCGTGAGCAGTCGTCCTCCAGCGCCTCCATGGAGCTCCTGGTCACCTGGTGCAGGGCCCGCTCTGTGTTGAGCTCTGACTCAGTCTCCAGCAGTTGTTTCCTCAACTTGTGCACAAGATGGCTGCTATCACTGTGCTCCATTGGCCGGGAAGTTTCTATGTGGAACTGGAGCTGTTTAGAGAGCTGGGAGATAACTCGGTTCATCTCTAGCCTGTAGTCAACACAAACTTTTCAGTTAGCAACACAAGATGTTTCATTTCTAGCCTGTAGTCAACACAAACTTTTCAGTTAGTAACACAAGATGTTTCATTTCTAGCCTGTAGTCAACACAAACTTTTCAGTTAGCAACACAAGATGTTTCATCTCTAGCCTGTAGTCAACACAAACTTTTCAGTTAGCAACACAAGATGTTTCATTTCTAGCCTGTAGTCAACACAAACTTTTCAGTTAGCAACACAAGATGTTTCATCTCTAGCCTGTAGTCAACACAAACTTTTCAGTTAGCAACACAAGATGTTTCATCTCTAGCCTGTAGTCAACACAAACTTTTCAGTTAGCAACACAAGATGTTTCATTTCTGGCCTAAAACCAAAAAAATTGGCAATCCTAAAAGAGGAAAAACTTTACCACATGCTCTTCCCATCAAGATTTTCATTAGATTTTTGGGCCAGGAAATTTCTGAGTTTCTTTAATTCACTCTCCTGATCTTGGAACCTGCAAGGCAATGTGTTTACAGGTACACCTGTGATAGGCTTAATGTGTTTACAGGTACACCTGTGATAGGCTTAATGTGTTTACAGGTACAACTGTGATAGGCTTAATGTGTTTACAGGTACACCTGTGACAGGCTTAATGTGTTTACAGGTACAACTGTGATAGGCTTAATGTGTTTACAGGTACAACTGTGATAGGCTTAATGTGTTTACAGGTACATCTGTGATAGGCTTAATGTGTTTACAGGTACAACTGTGATAGGCTTAATGTGTTTACAGGTACACCTGTGACAGGCTTAATGTGTTTACAGGTACAACTGTGATAGGCTAAATGTGTTTACAGGTACACCTGTGACAGGCTTAATGTGTTTACAGGTACAACTGTGATAGGCTTAATGTGTTTACAGGTACAACTGTGATAGGCTTAATGTGTTTACAGGTACATCTGTGATAGGCTTAATGTGTTTACAGGTACACCTGTGATAGGCTTAATGTGTTTACAGGTACATCTGTGATAGGCTTAATGTGTTTACAGGTACAACTGTGATAGGCTTAATGTGTTTACAGGTACACCTGTGACAGGCTTAATGTGTTTACAGGTACAACTGTGATAGGCTTAATGTGTTTACAGGTACAACTGTGATAGGCTTAATGTGTTTACAGGTACATCTGTGATAGGCTTAATGTGTTTACAGGTACAACTGTGATAGGCTTAATGTGTTTACAGGTACAACTGTGATAGGCTTAATGTGTTTACAGGTACAACTGTGATAGGCTTAATGTGTTTACAGGTACAACTGTGATAGGCTTAATGTGTTTACAGGTACACCTGTGATAGGCTTAATGTGTTTACAGGTACAACTGTGACGGATTTAAGGTGCCAAGGTATCATTTTCATTTCACAAACAATAATTTGATTCAAACATTCAATACCTTTACAAACATGACAATCTAGCACAGATTCAGCCTGACATGACAATCTAGCACAGATTTAGCCAAACTGACATGACAATCTAGCACAGATTTAGCCTAACTGACATGACAATCTAGCACAGATTTAGCCAAACTGACATGACAATCTAGCACAGATTTAGCCTAACTTACTTGACAAACTGACACAGACAGGACACACTGACAGACACAGACTCTGACATGACAAACTGAGAGAAATGTTCCACTGACCTCAGCTGTGTCTGGCTCTCAGCTTGTGTTGATTCCTGCAGGAGCTTGACCTTTCTCTCAGCATCAGCAAGTTTCTCTTCCAGCTCCAAGGCAGTTTCCTGCAGCTGTTTCAAGAGAGGGGGACAGAGCTGGGTACTGATTGCTACATGACTTGGGCAACAAGTGGACCTTATGCTGTCCTGAGCTAATTGCTACATGACTTGGGCAACAAGTGGACCTTATGCTGTCCTGAGCTAATTGCTACATGACTTGGGCAACAAGTGGACCTTATGCTGTCCTGAGCTAATTGCTACATGACTTGGGCAACAAGTGGACCTTATGCTGTCCTGAGCTAATTGCTACATGACTTGGGCAACAAGTGGACCTTATGCTGTCCTGAGCTAATTGCTACATGACTTGGGCAACAAGTGGATCTTATGCTGTCCTGAGCTAATTGCTACATGACTTGGGCAACAAGTAGACCTTATGCTGTCCTGAGCTAATTGCTACATGACTTGGGCAACAAGTAGACCTTATGCTGTCCTGAGCTAATTGCTACATGACTTGGGCAACAAGTGGACCTTATGCTGTCCTGAGCTAATTGCTACATGACTTGGGCAACAAGTGGACCTTATGCTGTCCTGTAAACCATATCAATCCTACCTTGAGGTTCTCCTTGTTTTTATCAGCCAGCAACTCCCTGGTCTGCTCCAGGGCTACAGACAACTTGTGGGCCTCCTGTTGGTACTTGATCTGTTCTTTGTTCTCTGACTCACTGTGGGCGACAGGCAGGTCTCAGACACACAGGCAGGTACAGACACACAGGTAGGTATAGACACAGGCAGGTACAGGCACACAGGCAGGTACAGACACACAGGCAGGTACAGACACACAGGCAGGTACAGACACACAGGCAGGTACAGACACACAGGCAGGTACAGACACACAGGTAGGTATAGACACAGGCAGGTACAGGCACACAGGCAGGTACAGACACACAGGCAGGTACAGACACAGACAGGAACAGACACACAGGCAGGTACAGACACACAGGCAGGTACAGACACACAGGCAGGTACAGACACACAGGCAGGTACAGACACACAGGCAGGTACAGACACACAGGCAGGTACAGACACACAGGCAGGTACAGACACACAGGCAGGTACAGACACACAGGCAGGTACAGACACACAGGCAGGTACAGACACACAGGCAGGTACAGACACACAGGCAGGTACAGACACAGGCAGGAACAGACACACAGGTAGGTACAGACACAGGCAGGTACAGACACACAGGCAGGTACAGACACAGGCAGGTACAGACACACACGCAGGTACAGACACACAGGCAGGTACAGACACAGGCAGGAACAGACACACAGACAGGAACAGACACACAGGCAGGTACAGACACACAGGCACACAGGCAGGTACAGGCACACAGACAGGTACAGACACAGACAGGAACAGACACACAGGCAGGAACAGACACACAGGCAGGTACAGACACACAGGCACACAGGCAGGTACAGGCACACAGACAGGTACAGACACACAGGTAGGTACAGACACAGGCAGGTACAGACACACACGCAGGTACAGACACAGGCAGGTACAGACACAGACAGGAACAGACACACAGGCAGGTACAGACACACAGGCAGGTACAGGCACACAGGCAGGTACAGACACAGGCAGGAACAGACACACAGGCAGGTACAGGCACACAGGCAGGTACAGGCACACAGGCAGGTACAGACACAGGCAGGAACAGACACACAGGCAGGTACAGACACACAGGCAAGTCTCAGACACACAGGCAGGTACACACACAGGTAGGTACAGACACAGGCAGGTACAGACACAGGCAGGAACAGACACACAGGCAGGTACAGACACACAGGTAGGTACAGGCACACACAGGTAGATACAGACACACACAGGCAGGTACAGACACACAGGCAGGTCTCAGACACACAGGTAGGTACAGACACACACAGGTAGTTACAGACACACAAAGGTAGGTATTGACACACAGGCAGGTACAGGCACACACAGGTAGATACAGACACACACAGGCAGGTACAGACACACAGGCAGGTCTCAGACACACAGGTAGGTACAGACACACACAGGTAGTTACAGACACACACAGGTAGGTATTGACACACAGGTAGGTACAGACACACACAGGTAGGTACAGACACACAGGTAGGTACAGACACACAGGTAGGTACAGACACACAGGCAGGTACAGACACACAGGCAGGTACAGACAAACAGGCAGGTACAGACACACAGGCAGGTACAGACACACAGGCAGGTACACACACAGGTAGGTACAGACACAGGCAGGTACAGACACAGGCAGGAACAGACACACAGGCAGGTACAGACACACAGGTAGGTACAGGCACACACAGGTAGATACAGACACACACAGGCAGGTACAGACACACAGGCAGGTCTCAGACACACAGGTAGGTACAGACACACACAGGTAGTTACAGACACACAAAGGTAGGTATTGACACACAGGCAGGTACAGGCACACACAGGTAGATACAGACACACACAGGCAGGTACAGACACACAGGCAGGTCTCAGACACACAGGTAGGTACAGACACACACAGGTAGTTACAGACACACACAGGTAGGTATTGACACACAGGTAGGTACAGACACACACAGGTAGGTACAGACACACAGGTAGGTACAGACACACAGGTAGGTACAGACACACAGGCAGGTACAGACACACAGGCAGGTACAGACAAACAGGCAGGTACAGACACACAGGCAGGTACAGACACACAGGCAGGTACAGACACACAGGCAGGTACAGACACAGGCAGGAACAGACACACAGGTAGGTACAGACACAGGCAGGAACAGACACACAGGTAGGTACAGACACAGGCAGGTACAGACACACAGGCAGGTACAGACACAGGCAGGTACAGACACACACGCAGGTACAGACACACAGGCAGGTACAGGCACAGGCAGGAACAGACACACAGGCAGGTACAGACACACAGGCAGGTACAGACACACAGGCAGGTACAGACACACAGGCAGGTACAGACACACAGGCAAGTCTCAGACACACAGGTACAGACACACAGGCAGGTACAGACACACAGGCAGGTACAGACACACAGGCAGGTACAAACACAGGCAGGTAGAGACACACAGGCAGGTACAGACACACACAGGTAGGTACAGACACACACAGGTAGGTATAGACACACAGGTAGGTCTCAGACACACAGGCAGGTACAGAAACACAGGCAGGTACAGAAACACACAGGCAGGTACAGACACACACAGGTAGGTACAGAAACACAGGCAGGTACAGACACACACAGGTAGGTACAGACACACAGGCAGGTACAGACACACAGGTAGGTACAGACACACACAGGTAGGTATTGACACACAGGTAGGTACAGACACACACAGGTAGGTACAGAAACACACAGGCAGGTACAGACACACACAGGTAGGTACAGAAACACAGGCAGGTACAGACACACAGGCAGGTACAGACACACACAGGCAGGTCTCAGACACACACAGGCAGGTACAGGCACACAGGTAGGTATTGACACACAGGTAGGTACAGACACACAGGCAGGTACAGACACAGGCAGGTCTCAGACACACACAGGCAGGTACAGACACACAGGTAGGTACAGACACACAGGCAGGTACAGACACAGGCAGGTCTCAGACACACACAGGCAGGTACAGACACACAGGCAGGTACAGACACACAGGCAGGTACAGACACACAGGCAGGTACAGACACACAGGCAGGTACAGACACACAGGCAGGTACAGACACACAGGTAGGTACAGACACACACAGGTAGGTACAGGCACACAGGCAGGTATAGACACACAGGTAGGTACAGACACACACAGGTAGGTACAGACACACAGGTAGGTACAGACACACACAGGTAGGTATTGACACACAGGTAGGTCTCAGACACACACAGGCAGGTACAGAAACACAGGCAGGTACAGACACACAAAGGTAGGTATTGACACACAGGCAGATGTAGAACTGCAGAAATGGACCTACACTTGCTGTTTGAAGTCGAGGCTAAGCTGGTGAAACTTGCTGCTGGATTGGTGCTTGTAGCTGTTCAACAGTTGTTGGTGGTGGGACAACTCTCTCTGGTGATGTGAGAGAGAACTTTTGTGTGGGACATGTAGGAGCTGTGTGTGGGACATGTAGGAGCTGTGTGTGGGACATGTAGGAGCTGTGTGTGGGACATGTAGGAGCTGTGTGTGGGACATGTAGGAGCTGTGTGTGGGACATGTAGGAGCTGTGTGTGGGACATGTAGGAGCTGTGTGTGGGACATGTAGGAGCTGTGTGTGGGACATGTAGGAGCTGTGTGTGGGACATGTAGGAGCTGTGTGTGGGACATGTAGGAGCTGTGTGTGGGACATGTAGGAGCTGTGTGTGGGACATGTAGGAGCTGTGTGTGGGACATGTAGGAGCTGTGTGTGGGACATGTAGGAGCTGTGTGTGGGACATGTAGGAGCTGTGTGTGGGACATGTAGGAGCTGTGTGTGGGACATGTAGGAGCTGTGTGTAGGACATGTAGGAGCTGTGTGTGGGACATGTAGGAGCTGTGTGTAGGACATGTAGGAGCTGTGTGTAGGACATGTAGGAGCTGTGTGTGGGACATGTAGGAGCTGTGTGTGGGACATGTAGGAGCTGTGTGTGGGACATGTAGGAGCTGTGTGTAGGACATGTAGGAGCTGTGTGTAGGACATGTAGGAGCTGTGTGTGGGACATGTAGGAGCTGTGTGTGGGACATGTAGGAGCTGAGGTTAATAATTTCAAACATATCCAAACCTTGATGGTTTCGTTCCTCTCTTCACTCATTTTTAAAGCGACTTCTGAAGCTTGAAGTTTGAGGGAAAGGCCCTTCAACTGATCTTTGACTGTGGCAAGTTCCATCTCCATTTTCTTTCTAGCAAGCTGGTGACCACTGGCCTTCTCTTCCCATGACAACTGTGTGACAAATGGAATGGGGACAAATGTCAACATTTGATGGGGTCAACTGACAACATTTGATGGAGACAAATGTCAACATTTGATGGGGACAAATGTCAACATTTGATGGGGTCAACTGACAACATTTGATGGAGACAAATGTCAACATTTGATGGGGACAACTGTCAACATTTGATGGGGACAAATGTCAACATTTGATGGGGTCAACTGACAACATTTGATGGAGACAAATGTCAACATTTGATGGGGACAAATGTCAACATTTAATGGGGACAAATGTCAACATTTGATGGAGACAAATGTCAACATTTGATGGGGACAACTGTCAACATTTGATGGGGACAACTGTCAACATTTGATGGGGACAAATGTCAACATTTAATCGTGATGCACCTCAAGACTTACAATCCACGTCAACCTTGACGAGTGACTGACTACATTTACAAATGGTTTATACATGTAACATTGCAACTGTTATCTAAAATAGAATTTGTACGTGTAATGTTTCAAGCGCCTTCTATGCATGAACTTGTATGTGTAATGTTTCAAGCATCTTCTCTGTGTGAATTTGTATGTGTAATGTTTCAAGCATCTTCTATGTGTGAACTTGTATGTGTAATGTTTCAAGCGTCTTCTATGTGTGAACTTGTATGTGTAATGTTTCAAGCGCCTTCTATGTGTGAACTTGTATGTGTAATGTTTCAAGCATCTTCTATGTGTGAACTTGTATGTGTAATGTTTCAAGTATCTTCTATGTGTGAACTTGTATGTGTAATGTTTCAAGTATCTTCTATGTGTGAACTTGTATGTGTAATGTTTCAAGTATCTTCTATGTGTGAACTTGTATGTGTAATGTTTCAAGCATCTTCTCTGTGTGAACTTGTATGTGTAATGTTTTAAGTGTCTTCTATGCGTGAACTTGTACGTGTAATGTTTCAAGCATCTTCTCTGTGTGAACTTGTATGTGTAATGTTTCAAGCATCTTCTATGTGTGAACTTGTATGTGTAATGTTTCAAGCGTCTTCTATGTGTGAACTTGTATGTGTAATGTTTTAAGTGTCTTCTATGCGTGAACTTGTACGTGTAATGTTTCAAGCGTCTTCTATGTGTGAACTTGTATGTGTAATGTTTCAAGCGTCTTCTATGCGTGAACTTGTATGTGTAATGTTTCAAGCATCTTCTATGTGTGAACTTGTATGTGTAATGTTTCAAGTATCTTCTATGTGTGAACTTGTATGTGTAATGTTTCAAGCGTCTTCTATGTGTGAACTTGTATGTGTAATGTTTCAAGTATCTTCTATGTGTGAACTTGTATGTGTAATGTTTCAAGCATCTTCTCTGTGTGAACTTGTATGTGTAATGTTTCAAGTATCTTCTCTGTGTGAACTTGTATGTGTAATGTTTCAAGTATCTTCTATGTGTGAACTTGTATGTGTAATGTTTCAAGCATCTTCTCTGTGTGAACTTGTATGTGTAATGTTGCTCCCATAGCTGAACAAACCTTTTTGGCCCTCAGGTCTTCAATTGTTTCCTTTAACTGCCCCAGTTTGTCATCAGCTATTTTCTGTGAGGAAACAAACTGCTTTATTTGTAGATTTGATTCATTTAATTTCTCCTCTTTACTCTGCAGCTGTTCTATTAGACTTTCATTGACTTCTCTCTGTTTGTTCAGCTCTTCTGCCATTTTCTTCAAATTTTCCTCCATCTGACAAAAGAAAAATCCAGCATGTAGACTTGACTATAAACCAGTCTATTGGACCCCCAGTTTTAAATCACAGCAGAGAGAACAGGGTATATGCCTGTCATGTGCTGGCTGTTACATGGTTTGTTACAACACAACAATCAAATTATCAAAACATCAGAATCTACACAAGCACTTGAATGTCCACTATTACAATCAATCCCTCACCACCCCCCCCCCCCCCCCCAATCAGAATGTCCACACTAGCCACATACATGTGTAGAAGAATCTTCCATGGTCTTCTTCTCATACTGGTAGTTGTAGCGCATGCCTTCAATGGTGTGCCTGAGATCTGTTGTCTGCCTGTCGCTGACCTCCTCACTACTGCGCAGCTTATCCTGCAGGTCAAGAATGACCACAACTTTCTTGGCTATTTTCTCCTGTAGCTGGGAGTTTTCCTGCTTGAGCTCAGATATTTGCTTGTACAGTGAGTCCATGACCAGCCTCTTCTCCTCCATCCACTGGGACTGCTCGTGTATAGTCAGCTCTTGGGATTTACTTTGACTGAAATGTTTGAAAATGGCAATCATTAATATTCACACAAGTCCAATATTTGCCCTAAACATGTCCACAGTGACCTTATGAATGTTTGCCTGACCTTTGAACTTGCTCTAGCCTCTGGATGCTCTGTTTGTAGTTGAGAATTTCCTCATCCTTGTCTTGTAGCTGCTGCTTCAACATCTCCAACTCTTTACTGGGGAAGACAGAAACATGAACATTAAAACAGGCCACAGGACAAACATAACAGAGGACAAACAGGCCACAAGACAAACATACCACAGGACAAACAGAACACAGGACAAACATACCACAGGACAAACATACCACAAGACAAACATACTACAGGACAAACATACTACAGGACAAACATACCACAGGACAAACATACCACAAGACAAACATACCACATGACAAACATACTACAGGACAAACATACCACAGGACAAACATACCACATGACAAACATACTACAGGACAAACATACCACAGGACAAACATACCACAGGACAAACATACCACAGGACAAACATACTACAGGACAAACATACCACAGGACAAACATACCACAAGACAAACATACTACAGGACAAACATACCACAGGACAAACATACCACAGGACAAACATACCACAGGACAAACATACCACAGGACAAACAGAACACAGGACAAACATACCACAGGACAAACAGAACACAGGACAAACATACCACAGGACAAACATACCACAAGACAAACATACTACAGGACAAACATACTACAGGACAAACATACCACAGGACAAACATACCACAAGACAAACATACCACATGACAAACATACTACAGGACAAACATACCACAGGACAAACATACCACAGGACAAACATACCACAGGACAAACATACTACAGGACAAACATACCACAGGACAAACATACCACAAGACAAACATACTACAGGACAAACATACCACAGGACAAACATACCACAGGACAAACATACCACAGGGGAAACATACCACAGGGGAAACATACCACAGGACAAACATACCACAGGACAAACAGACCACAGGACAAACATACCAGAGGACAAACATACCACAGGACAAACATACTACAGGACAAACAGCTTACAGGACAAACATACCACAAGACAAACATACTTCAGGACAAACAAACCACAAGACAAACATACCACAGGACAAACAGAACACAGGACAAACATACCACAGGACAAACATACCACAGGACAAACATACCACAGGACAAACATACCACAGGACAAACAGACCACAGGAAAAACAGGCCACAGGACAAACAGGCCACAGAACAAACAGACCACAGGACAAACATACCACAGGACAAACAGGCCACAGAACAAAGTGTACAAAGGACCTCAAGGTCACTAATTGGTGAAGATTAGAATCTCTACCTCAAGGTCAAGGACTTTTGGTCAGCATGAGCCCTCTGACTGCTGATGTGCTCACTCAGCCTGAGATTCTCTCCCTTCACTTGGCTGATCTCCTCTTGCTTGCACCTAATGACCTCAGCATGTGTCTGTTCTTTCTCCCCCAACCTTCTGCAGGCCTCATGGTAATCTGGCAAGACAATGTAACACTTAGCAGTCTAGACACAAAGTTGGTGGTGGGGGGTACAATAGGCAATATTGATACATATATATATATATATATATATATATATATATATATATATGGTAATCTATCGTTTTAGGTATGTAAAATTGTCCGCGACTAGTAATGTAGTAATTACTAGCCGCGTGCGATTTTACATACCTAAAATGACAGATTACCTATATATATATATGTTACGGTCAAAGCCCGAAGTGCGGCCAAACCCCGGATTGGCCGGCCAATGCGCGGATTGGCCGGCTCTCTTGGCCAAAGCCCGAAGAACTTACAACTAAGATCGTATTTCGTACATTGGCCGGCCAATGCGCGCACTGGCCGGGACGTACTGGCCAAAGTCCGAAGTACTTAAACTTGACACCGTATTTTGTACATTGGCCGGCCAATGCGCGCATTGGCCGGGATGTCCTGGCCAATGTTGTATCTAGACTAAGTTGTGATCGCGTTTTAATTATTCTGGGTGCGGTTTCATTGTGAGTAACGTATTGTTTAGCTCTTGTTTGTATAGCATTCTATATGCAAGGTGACATGGATCAAAAAGGCCGTCAGACCATGAGACAGACATAGCAAATGGCTGTCAAAAGAAAAAAATGTAAATTCATGTTAGTTTCCATATATGGGCTACAGCTGTATGTGACAGCCTCCTCCATGATGACGAGGTGAGACAATCATCAAAGAACAAAATCAAAGACAGTCGGCGTCACCGACCACGTGCAACAAGACGGAACATTCAAAAGACTTTTCCGCGTTCCTAGATGTTTAAAACAAGATGATGACATGGATGCAAACAAATGAATCAGCTCATTGGGCTGAGAGTCTCAAATTCATTTAATTTATGAAAAATCGTTCTTTTCATCAATGAATCCAACAATCACCATACGAAGCCTTGTTTGGATGCAAAGCAAAAGTGGGACTTAGCACTTCAAATCTACCAAGAGAGGCTCTCAATAAAATAGTTACTGAGGAAGATCTTGAAAACATTGAACAAGAAATGGAGGTTGCCATAAATGCAACGACATCCTCAGCTAACACATCTGCTGCCGTGGCGGAACGTCCAGACCAGTTGCGTGACAATAATGTGGCCAATAGATTCTGTATAGTTTGTGAAAAACATTGTAGTGCAGCTCATTCTTGTGGATCCTATGGCAACGATGTGCATGCTATTTGTGGAATACCCAATGAAGCAGACGAAGGGTACGGAGGGAACATTACCTGCAGATTGTGTCACAACAAACAAGACATCATGGAACACAGGTCAGCAGCTCATACTGGCTTGCAAAATCAAGGTGCTAAGATGCTTAAAACATCAAATACAAAATTTAAAGATGTTGAAGTAGGTGACAATGTACGCATCCGTGTTCCAGATGTTGACAGAGGTCGCGGTGATCCCCGAAGCGTGATTGCAGTTGTCATGAGCGTCGAGGGCGGTTTCTACAAATTAGGAACGGAACATGGTGTTCTAAAACAACTGTATGCTAGAAGTGAGTTTTCAATTCTTCACGAAAAACTGCTCTTATTGTCGTCAGTTGGCACTGAGGAAAAATCACTACGAACCATCGCATCTTCATCGCATCTTCACAATCATTGACTGGGGGCCAAGGCTACACTCGCTGCAATTGCACAACCAAGTGTACAACAAATCGCTGCAAGTGTAAAAATAACAAGCTGCTATGTAATTCTAAATGCCATAAAAGTTCAACTTGTAGTAACAAATGATAATATTGATTGATTGAGACTATAGTACAATAAAAAATTTGAATGTTTCTGTCATTTACTTTAATTAATAATCAATAAAGACTTAATTTCATGATCCTACCGGCATAAAAAAACCAAAATCTGCTCATGATCTTCTAATTAAGACTTTGGCCGGTCCACCATGGCCAGTCCGCGGACTGGCCGGGACTGGCCGGCCAAAGACCGAAATCAAGAGCTATTTCAGACTTTGGCCGGTCCACAATGGCCAGTCTGCGGATTGGCCGGCCAAAGGCCGAAATGAAGCAAAGTTTCGGACTTTGACCGACCTATGGGAGGCGATATTGGCCAATGCGCGGATTGGCCGGCCAATCCTAGCATTGGCCGACTTCGGGCTTTGACCGTAACATATATATATATATATATATATATATGTATATATATATATATATATATATATATATATATATGTATATATATATATATATATGTATATATATATATATATATATATATATATATATATATATATATATATATATATATATATATATATTTATATATATATATATATATATATATATATATATATATATATATATATATATATATATATATATATATATATATATATATATATATTTCTGTTGTATTACCTTTCTGAAGCGTTTCCTTTTCTAACTTCATCTGCTGCATTGTCTCTCTTGCTAAGAGTAGCTGCCCCTTGTTCAGCTCCAGATCTGCTGTGACCTTGCCAAGCAAGTCTTTCAGCTCTTTTTCATTTTCTTGCCAACTTTTTAACTCTTTCTGTCATGGAAATTATAAGGGAGTAGTAGAGAGTCTTACAGAATCACTGGACCTACTGACTGTAGACCACTGGACCTACTGACTACAACATCACTGAACCTACTGACTGTAGACCACTGGACCTACTGACTGTAGACCACTGGACCTACTGACTGTAGACCACTGGACCTACTGACTGTAGACCACTGGACCTACTGACTGTAGACCACTGGACCTACTGACTGTAGACCACTGGACCTACTGACTGTAGACCACTGGACCGACTAATTACAACATCACTGGAACTACTGACTTGAATAAAGTATTAATAGACCATATTCTACCAACGAAAGATTAAGTTGATGAATTTAACTCAGCTGCAAGGTTGACTAACGCTGCAACTGATTAAGTCGACCAACCTTTAAAGTGCTGCAACTGATTAAGTCGACCAACCTTTAAAGTGCTGCAACTGATTAAGTCGACCAACCTTTAAAGTGTTGCAACTGATTAAGTTGACCAACCTTTAAAGTGCTGCAACTGATTAAGTCGACCAACCTTTAAAGTGTTGCAACTGATTAAGTCGACCAACCTTTAAAGTGCTGCAACTGATTAAGTCGACCAACCTTTAAAGTGCTGCAACTGATTAAGTCGACCAACCTTTAAAGTGTTGCAACTGATTAAGTTGACCAACCTTTAAAGTGCTGCAACTGATTAAGTCGACCAACCTTTAAAGTGCTGCAACTGATTAAGTCGACCAACCTTTAAAGTGCTGCAACTGATTAAGTTGACCAACCTTTAAAGTGCTGCAACTGATTAAGTCGACCAACCTTTAAAGTGCTGCAACTGATTAAGTGGACCAACCTTTAAAGTGTCCTCTGCTGCCTTGTGTGTGTTGAGCTGCTGTGTGAGCAGGTGGTGGTCATGTGACAACATGTCCAGTTTGTGGCCAGCAGCCGACAGATCTTCTTTACGCTGTTGGGACACTGCCTGCATCTCCCTCAACTGGAACCACAGCATGGCACTTATACAATGTCTTGTCTAGTGTAAAGTGACATCTGCAGCTAATGTCATGTCTAGTGTAAAGTGACATCTGCAGCTAATGTCATGTCTAGTGTAAAGTGACCTCTGCAGCTAATGTCATATATAGTGTAAAGTGACATCTGCAGCTAATGTCATATCTAGTGTAAAGTGAAATCTGCAGCTAATGTCATATCTAGTGTAAAGTGACATCTGCAGCTAATGTCATGTCTAGTGTAAAGTGACATCTGCAGCTAATGTCATATCTAGTGTAAAGTGACCTCTGCAGCTAATGTCATGTCTAGTGTAAAGTGACATCTGCAGCTGTCATGTCTAGTGTAAAGTGACATCTGCAGCTAATGTCATATCTAGTGTAAAGTGACATCTGCAGCTAATGTCATATCTAGTGTAAAGTGAAATCTGCAGCTAATGTCATATCTAGTGTAAAGTGACATCTGCAGCTAATGTCATATCTAGTGTAAAGTGAAATCTGCAGCTAATGTCATATCTAGTGTAAAGTGACCTCAGCAGCTGATGTCATGTCTAGTGTAAAGTGACATCTGCAGCTAATGTCATGTCTAGTGTAAAGTGACATCTGCAGCTGTCATGTCTAGTGTAAAGTGACATCTGCAGCTAATGTCATGTCTAGTGTAAAGTGACATCTGCAGCTAATGTCATGTCTAGTGTAAAGTGACATCTGCAGCTGTCATGTCTAGTGTAAAGTGACATATCTCCCCATGCAGCAAAGTATCAAATGCTATAACTGAGCTGCATGCTCTTTGGATTCTATATGTATATCAACTTGTATGCTTACCTCAGCATCTTTAGATTCTATCTGTATATCAACTTGTATGCTTACCTCAGCATCTTTGGATTCTATCTGTATATCAACTTGTATGCTTACCTCAGCATCTTTGGATTCTATCTGTATATCAACTTGTATGCTTACCTCAGCATCTTTGGATTCTATCTGTATATCAACTTGTATGCTTACCTCAGCATCTTTGGATTCTATCTGTATATCAACTTGTATGCTTACCTCAGCATCTTTGGATTCTATCTGTATATCAACTTGTATGCTTACCTCAGCATCTTTAGATTCTATCTGTATATCAACTTGTATGCTTACCTCAGCATCTTTAGATTCTATCCTTGAGGCCATGACTGCTGTACTCTCTTTCAAAGACTTCACTTCCTGTGACAGAGAAGCCACTTGAGTCTGGTACTCATGCTCTTTTTCCTCCATCTTAGAGAGTTCAAAGTTCATCTTCTTTATCTGTGACTGCAGGTCTGTGATGCAGCTGTCCTTCTCTTGTAGTGCCAGAGTGCTGGAGAGTTGTGTCCCTTCACACTCCTCAATCTTAAACAAAATATCAGCAACCAATGTTTATATTTTGATTACAATCTGGTGACATTACAGCAAACAATGTTTACAGCTAATGATTGAATACAGGCAATGTTTACAGCTAATGATTGAATACAATGTTTACAGCTAATGATTGAATACAGGCAATGTTTACAGCTAATGATTGAATACAGGCAATGTTTACAGCTAATGATTGAATACAGGCAATGTTTACAGCTAATGATTGAATACAGGCAATGTTTACAGCTAAGGATTGAATACAGGCAATGTTTACAGCTAATGATTGAATACAGGCAATGTTTACAGCTAATGATTGAATACAGGCAATGTTTACAGCTAATGATTGAATACAGGCAATGTTTACAGCTAATGATTGAATGCAAACAATATTTACATCTAATGATTTAATGCAAAGGCATAACTACTACCAAAATAAATTATATTATATGACCTTGCTACAAAAATATCAACAACAAACTGAGGTGCCTACAGATGAAAGAAAACAAAGATAACTACCTGCTGAATGAAGGTTTTCACGCCTGACTTAAGCTTGGCTACTCTGTCTTTCTCTTGGCTCAACAAGCTATCTGTGGTGGCCAGTTTTTTCTGCAGCTCAGACTGTTCTTGTAATAACATCTTATTTACTTCCAAAGTGGCAGCATTTTCTTTCATCTAACACCAATGACAGGTCATAAAAATATGAACATGGTAACAAGATTTATTTAAAGATTTTTTTGAATCAACAGTATCATGTAAAGCAGTAATTTGACCACTGCGTAACCCCCCACTCCTACCCGACCCTCAGCTGACCTCTGACCTGTCGAGCAGACTGTCCAGTCAGGGTTGGAAGACCAGACCAACACGTCACCAGACCAGACCAAGAGGCTTGTTGGGACCAGTCCGACCATAAAGCTACAAGTCAAAGCAAACTCTCCGCCTCCGGCTTTGCTTGCAGTGCCAGCATACAACCTATCTGGTCCTGACTTTCAGTCAAACAACTCATCTGGTCCTGACTTTCAGTCATACAACCCATCTGGTCCTGACTTTCAGTCATACTACCCATCTGGTCCTGACTTTCATACAACCCATCTGGTCCTGACTTTCAGTCATACAACCATCTGGTCCTGACTTTCATACAACCCATCTGGTCCAGAATTTCAGTCATACAACCCATCTGGTCCTGACTTTCAGTCATACAACCATCTGGTCCTGACTTTCAGTCATACAACCCATCTGGTCCTGACTTTCAGTCATACAACCATCTGGTCCTGACTTTCATACAACCCATCTGGTCCAGAATTTCAGTCATACAACCCATCTGGTCCTGACTTTCAGTCATACAACCATCTGGTCCTGACTTTCAGTCATACAACCATCTGGTCCTGACTTTCAGTCATACAACCCATCTGGTCCTGACTTTCAGTCATACAACCCATCTGGTCCTGACTTTCAGTCATACAACCCATCTGGTCCTGACTTTTTTCAGTCATGCAACCCATCTGGTCCTGACTTTCATACAACCCATCTGGTCCTGACTTTCAGTCATACAACCCACCTGGTCCCGACATGCTATGCTGGTATTTTTTATTTTAAATCAAACAATTCAAGGTGTCCTCTAATTAATTAATGAGAGCCACAACTTGAGGGAGTCACTGTAGGGGTGGGGGGGGGACTCGTTATGTAAGAGACTGACCTTTATGGTCAGCTCTTTGGTTGTCATGGTAACATCTTGCTTGTTGTTGTCAAGTTCTGTCTGCAACAGCTGGCATCTTGTCTCCAGGTTTGTTTTCTCTTGGTCCAGGCGTCTGGGGTATAGACATGTGGTCAGTTATCTGTATAGACATGTGGTCAGTTATCTGTATAGACATGTGGTCAGTTATCTGTATAGACATGTGGTCAGTTATCTGTATAGACATGTGGTCAGTTATCTGTATAGACTTGTGGTCAGTTATCTGTATAGACATGTGGTCAGTTATCTGTATAGACATGTGGTCAGTTATCTGTATAGACATGTGGTCAGTTATCTGTATAGACATGTGGTCAGTTATCTGTATAGACTTGTGGTCAGTTATCTGTATAGACATGTGGTCAGTTTTCTGTATAGACTTGTGGTCAGTTATCTGTATAGATATGTGGTCAGTTATCTGTATAGACTTGTGGTCAGTTTTCTGTATAGACATGTGGTCAGTTATCTGTATAGACTTGTGGTCAGTTTTCTGTATAGACATGTGGTCAGTTATCTGTATAAACTTGGGGTCAGTTATCTGTATAGACATGTGGTCAGTTATCTGTATAGACTTGTGGTCAGTTATCTGTATAGACATGTGGTCAGTTATCTGTATAGACATGTGGTCAGTTATCTGTATAGACATGTGGTCAGTTATCTGTATAGACTTGTGGTCAGTTATCTGTATAGACATGTGGTCAGTTATCTGTATAGACATGTGGTCACTTATCTGTATAGACATGTGGTCAGTTATCTGTATAGACATGTGGTCAGTTATCTGTATAGACATGTGGTCAGTTATCTGTATAGACATGTGGTCAGTTATCTGTATAGACATGTGGTCAATTATCTGTATAGACATGTGGTCAGTTATCTGTATAGACATGTGGTCAGTTATCTGTATAGACATGTGGTCAGTTATCTGTATAGACATGTGGTCAGTTATCTGTATAGACATGTGGTCAGTTATCTGTATAGACATGTGGTCAGTTTTCTGTATAGACATGTGGTCAGTTATCTGTATAGACATGTGGTCAGTTATCTGTATAGACATGTGGTCAGTTATCTGTATAGACATGTGGTCAGTTATCTGTATAGACATGTGGTCAGTTATCTGTATAGACATGTGGTCAGTCATCTGTATAGATATGTGGTCAGTTATCTGTATAGACATGTGGTCAGTTATCTGTATAGACATGTGGTCAGTTATCTGTATAGACATGTGGTCAGTTATCTGTATAGACATGTGGTCAGTTATCTGTATAGACTTGTGGTCAGTTATCTGTATAGACATGTGGTCAGTTTTCTGTATAGACATGTGGTCAGTTATCTGTATAAACTTGGGGTCAGTTATCTGTATAGACTTGTGGTCAGTTATCTGTATAGACATGTGGTCAATTATCTGTATAGACATGTGGTCAGTTATCTGTATAGACTTGTGGTCAGTTATCTGTATAGACATGTAGTCGGTTATCTGTATAGACATGTGGTCAGTTATCTGTATAGACATGTGGTCCATTATCTGTATAGACATGTGGTCAATTATCTGTATAGACATGTGGTCAGTTATCTGTATAGATCTGTGGTCAGTTTTCTGTATTTCCATGTGCACCTGCAGATTTGTGTAACAATGTACAGCTTACCTTATTTTTTGTACCATCATTTCAGTCTCTTTATCTTTGGCCAGAATTAATACTTTAGATTTTTGGAGTTCATTCATCAGCTGAGTAAAGATTAAAATCTAGGCATAACAAATCTAGATATAACACGGTAATTTTGACATAGAGAGAAAAATAATGGTCATGTTGCTACAATACAGTTTAGTGAGAGAGAAAAAATGATTGTCATGTTGCTACAGTACAGTTTAGTGAGAGAGAAAAATACAGTTTAGTGAGAGAGAAAAAATAATGGTCATGTTGCTACAGTACAGTTTAGTGGGTGGACATAGAGGTTTGTTGTAAACTATTGGGACACGCCCTGTCTTATAGGCTAGGACAGCCCTGTCTTATAGGCTAGGACAGCCCTGTCTTATAGGCTAGGACAGCCCTGTCTTATAGGCTAGGACAGTCCTGTCTTATAGGCTAGGACAGCCCTGTCTTATAGGCTAGGACAGCCCTGTCTTATAGGCTAGGACAGCCCTGTCTTATAGGCTAGGACAGCCCTGTCTTATAGGCTAGGACAGCCCTGTCTTATAGGCTAGGACAGCCCTGTCTTATAGGCTAGGACAGCCCTGTCTTATAGGGTAGGACAGCCCTGTCTTATAGGCTAGGACAGCCCTGTATTATAGGCTAGGACAGCCCTGTCTTATAGGCTAGGACAGCCCTGTCTTATAGGCTATGACAGCCCTGTCTTATAGGCTAGGACAGCCCTGTCTTATAGAATAGAACAACAGCATTAGTCAGGGCAGGGTCCTACCTTCTGAGTGGAGGGGTCCTCTGCAGCAAGCAACACATTGTCAGCATTGGTTTCTCCCTCCAGCCTAGCCAGGACCTGGTGTAAACTTCCCTCCAAGTGACCCAAGTCAACCTGGCAAGCCATTTTTTCTGTCCTGGCCAAATTTTTTTCTTCTTCAAGAGTCTGAAAGACAGGAAATTTGTCAATGGGCATACAATGTGTTTCAACATTCAATAAAACTTTTTGCTCTTTCCAATAACCTTGTTTTCAGTATTCTTGATATACTTGACCCCTCTCAAACAAAACTTATATGCCTGGCCTCCCCCCCCTCCTCCCAAATGAAACCAATGTCTGACCCCCCCCCCCCTTAAATTAAACCTATATGACTGACCCCCCTCTCTCAAACAAAACCAATGTCTGACCCCCCCCCCTTAAATTAACCTATATTACTATATGACTGATCCCCCACCCCTTCTCAAACAAAACCAATGTCTTACCCCTCCCCCCCTCCCAAATAAAACTAATGTCTGACCCCCCCCCCCCCCCTCAAATAAAACTAATGTGCCAGACCCCCCCCCTCTTATACAAAGCCTATAGGCCTATCCCACCTCCTCTCAAATAAAACCCACACCCAACCCCTCCCCCACTAAAAAACCCACACACCTTAACCCTCCTCTCCAGTAGAGATTTCTCACTGGCTATCTGTACTTTTTCAGCCAAGGAAGTTGTGGCCTCCATCTTTGTTTTGTTCATCTCCATGGTTACACTTTGAACTTGTTGCTGACAGCTGACTGATGCATGCATGGCTTGCTGCAGACACATGGTGTCAAATCTTAGTGGTCTTACAGTAAACAATGGTGCTGTGTGGTGGTCTTACAGTAAACAACAATGGTGGTGTGTGGTGGTCTTACAGTAAACAATGGTGGTGTGTGGTGGTCTTACAGTAAACAACAATGGTGTGTGGTGGTCTTACAGTAAACAACAATGGTGGTGTGTGGTGGTCTTACAGTAAACAACAATGGTGTGTGGTGGTCTTACAGTAAACAACAATGGTGTGTGGTGGTCTTACAGTAAACAATGGTGCTGTGTGGTGGTCTTACAGTAAACAACAATGGTGTGTGGTGGTCTTACAGTAAACAACAATGGTGTGTGGTGGTCTTACAGTAAACAATTGTGTGTGTGGTGGTCTTACAGTAAACAACAATGGTGCTGTGTGGTGGTCTTACAGTAAACAATGGTGCTGTGTGGTGGTCTTACAGTAAACAATGGTGTGTGGTGGTCTTACAGTAAACAACAATGGTGCTGTGTGGTGGTCTTACAGTAAACAACAATGGTGGTGTGTGGTGGTCTTACAGTAAACAATGGTGGTGTGTGGTGGTCTTACAGTAAACAATGGTGGTGTGTGGTGGTCTTACAGTAAACAACAATGGTGGTGTGTGGTGGTCTTACAGTAAACAACAATGGTGCTGTGTGGTGGTCTTACAGTAAACAATGGTGGTGTGTGGTGGTCTTACAGTAAACAATGGTGGTGTGTGGTGGTCTTACAGTAAACAACAATGGTGGTGTGTGGTGGTCTTACAGTAAACAATGGTGGTGTGTGTGGTGGTCTTACAGTAAACAACAATGGTGCTGTGTGGTGGTCTTACAGTAAACAACAATGGTGGTGTGTGGTGGTCTTACAGTAAACAACAATGGTGGTGTGTGGTGGTCTTACAGTAAACAACAATGGTGTGTGGTGGTCTTACAGTAAACAACAATGGTGCTGTGTGGTGGTCTTACAGTAAACAACAATGGTGGTGTGTGGTGGTCTTACAGTAAACAACAATGGTGGTGTGTGGTGGTCTTACAGTAAACAACAATGGTGTGTGGTGGTCTTACAGTAAACAACAATGGTGCTATGTGGTGGTCTTACAGTAAACAACAATGGTGTGTGGTGGTCTTACAGTAAACAATGGTGGTGTGTGGTGGTCTTACAGTAAACAACAATGGTGTGTGGTGGTCTTACAGTAAACAATGGTGGTGTGGTGGTCTTACAGTAAACAACAATGGTGGTGTGTGGTGGTCTTACAGTAAACAACAATGGTGTGTGGTGGTCTTACAGTAAACAACAATGGTGGTGTGTGGTGGTCTTACAGTAAACAACAATGGTGGTGTGTGGTGGTCTTACAGTAAACAACAATGGTGGTGTGTGGTGGTCTTACAGTAAACAACAATGGTGTGTGTGGTGGTCTTACAGTAAACAACAATGGTGCTGTGTGGTGGTCTTACAGTAAACAATGGTGGTGTGTGGTGGTCTTACAGTAAACAATGGTGGTGTGTGGTGGTCTTACAGTAAACAATGGTGGTGTGTGATGATAATTGATGACCACAAGAAGGTAACTGATTACCACAAGAAGGTAACTGATGACCACAAGAAGGTAACTGATGACCACAAGGTAACTGATGACCACAAGGTAACTGATGACCACAAGAAGGTAACTGATGACCACAAGAAGGTAACTGATGACCACAAGAAGGTAACTGATGACCACAAGAAGGTAACTAATGACCACAAGAAGGTAACTGATGACCACAAGGTAACTGATGACCACAAGAAGGTAACTGATGACCACAAGAAGGTAACTAATGACCACAAGAAGGTAACTGATGACCACAAGGTAACTGATGACCACAAGAAGGTAACTGATGACCACAAGAAGGTAACTGATGACCACAAGGTAACTGATGACCACAAGGTAACTGATGACCACAAGAAGGTAACTGATGACCACAAGAAGGTAACTGATGACCACAAGAAGGTAACTGATGACCACAAGAAGGTAACTGATGACCACAAGAAGGTAACTGATGACCACAAGAAGGTAACTGATGACCACAAGAAGGTAACTGATGACCACAAGAAGGTAACTGATGACCACAAGAAGGTAACTGATGACCACAAGAAGGTAACTGATGACCACAAGAAGGTAACTGATGACCACAAGAAGGTAACTGATGACCACAAGAAGGTAACTGATGACCACAAGAAGGTAACTGATGACCACAAGAAGGTAACTGATGACCACAAGGTAACTGATGACCACAAGAAGGTAACTGATGACCACAAGAAGGTAACTGATGACCACAAGAAGGTAACTGATGACCACAAGAAGGTAACTGATGACCACAAGAAGGTAACTGATGACCACAAGAAGGTAACTGATGAACACAAGGTAACTGATGACCACAAGGTAACTGATGACCACAAGGTAACTGATGACCACAAGAAGGTAACTGATGACCACAAGAAGGTAACTGATGACCACAAGAAGGTAACTGATGACCACAAGAAGGTAACTGACCAACAATTGTGTGTTGAGTTCCTCCTTCTCAGCCTCAACTTGACTCAGTCTAAGATTTGAGGCCAACTTGACCTCTGACCCCTGACCCTTATCTCCAAGTTTCTCTTCTAGTGCTGTGATCTTCTCTTGTGCCAGGTGTAGCTGGAGGTGGACAAGCTTGACCTGTGTCAACAAGTGGACAGTCACAAAGTAAGGTGACACAATGTCACATCACGTGAAAAATGAAAATTGAAAAGCAATTCCTACATTTTACCAATCCTGAAACTAAAATAAAAGAGTGGGATAAAGAACTGAGAGTGAGATAAACAGCTGAGAGTGAGATAAACAGCTGAGAGTGAGATAAACAGCTGAGAGTGGGATAAACAGCTGAGAGTGAGATAAACAGCTGAGAGTGAGATAAACAGCTGAGAGTGAGATAAACAGCTGAGAGTGAGATAAACAGCTGAGAGTGAGATAAACAGCTGAGAGTGGGATAAACAGCTGAGAGTGAGATAAACAGCTGAGAGTGAGATAAACAGCTGAGAGTGGGATAAACAGCTGAGAGTGGGATAAACAGCTGAGAGTGAGATAAACAGCTGAGAGTGAGATAAACAGCTGAGAGTGAGATAAACAGCTGAGAGTGAGATAAACAGCTGAGAGTGAGGCCAACAACAACTACGGGTGACAAGAAGTTTTCAACAACCTCCTCCTCTTTGTTTGACAGTCCAAACATCAGCACATCAAGTCTGTCTTTGAGCAGGTTGAACTGGTCAAGCTGGTCAGCCTCCCTTGTGGTCAGCTCCTCCAGCAGGTGGTATCTTTCTTGTAACTGTTTCTGGCAGGTTTCTATCTGTGGGATACATCCACACATTGCTAGAGTGGACATTGTTTTAGTGTCTGGAACAAACCTACACCAACAAATACAACAAACCTACACCATCAAATACAACAAACCTACACCAACAAATACAACAAACCTACACCATCAAATACAACAAACCTACACCAACAAATACAACAAACCTACACCATCAAATACAACAAACCTACATCATCAAATACAACAAACCTACACCACCAAATACAACAAACCTACACCAACAAATACAACAAACCTACACCAACAAATACAACAAACCTACACCAACAAATACAACAAACCTACACCAACAAATACAACAAACCTACACCAACAAATACAACAAACCTACACCATCAAATACAACAAACCTACACCATCAAATACAACAAACCTACACCAACAAATACAACAAACCTACACCAACAAATACAACAAACCTACACCAACAAATACAACAAACCTACACCAACAAATACAACAAACCTACACCAACAAATACAACAAACCTACACCATCAAATACAACAAACCTACACCAACAAATACAACAAACCTACACCAACAAATACAACAAACCTACACCAACAAATACAACAAACCTACACCAACAAATACAACAAACCTACACCAACAAATACACCAAACCTACACCAACAAATACAACAAACCTACACCATCAAATACAACAAACCTACACCAACAAATACAACAAACCTACACCAACAAATACAACAAACCTACACCAACAAATACACCAAACCTACACCATCAAATACAACAAACCTACACCATCAAATACAACAAACCTACACCAACAAATACAACAAACCTACACCAACAAATACAACAAACCTACACCAACAAATACAACAAACCTACACCAACAAATACAACAAACCTACACCAACAAATACAACAAACCTACACCATCAAATACAACAAACCTACACCATCAAATACAACAAACCTACACCAACAAATACAACAAACCTACACCAACAAATACAACAAACCTACATCATCAAATACAACAAACCTACACCAACAAATACAACAAACCTACACCAACAAATACAACAAACCTACACCATCAAATACAACAAACCTGTGTCAGCAGATCTTGTGTTGTCTTGTGTTGCTGTGACAGGTCAGACCTGGCAGTTGACAGTGACAACTCTGCTGCTGACAGTTGAGTGGTAAGTTTGATGAGCTCAGCACTTTTTTCTTCAACTTCTTGCTCCAGCTCTTCTATGTGCTGTTTCTGGAATAATGGGTCACATGGACTCAATCAGAGTTTCTTCCAGGCATCTATTTGGGGGAGGGGGGGGGGGTTACACCCCTGAAGAAAGTCTACCACCACACACACCCCCCCACCCCCCGAACGAGATGGAATTTATGTAGTAAACACATACTTTTACTAGTGTCCGCCCCCCTCCCCCCCGGAAAATGTTGACTCCCCCCCCCCCCCCCCTGGAGAAAAAAGTCCGGAAGAAACACTGGACTCAATGGGTCTCACATGGACTCAATGGGTCTCATGTGGGTCTCACGTGGACTTAATGGACTCAATGGGCCTCAAATGGATTCAATGGGCCTCAAATTGACTCAATGGGACTCATGTGGGTTCACATGGGTTAAATGGTCTCATGTAGACCAACCACCAACCCTGTAATGATATAACCACCAGCCCTTTGATGACCTAACTAGCCCTGTAATGACCTAATCACCAGCCTGTAATGACCTTACCCTTATGCCTGTAATGGCCTAATCCCCATGCCTAGAATAACCTAATCCCCATGCCTAGAATACCTAATCCCCATGCCTAGAATGACCTAATCCCCATGCCTAGAATAACCTAACCCCCAGACCTGTAATAATCTAACCCCCACCTGTAATGACCTAACCCCTAGACCTGTAATGACCTAACCCTCACACCTGTAATGACCTAACCAACCCCCCCCCAGACCTGTAATGACCTAGCCCCCACACATGTAATGACCTAACCCCCACACATGTAATGACCTAACCCCCAGACCTGTAATGACCTAACCCCCATCTCTAATGACCTAACCCCCACACCTGTGATGACCTAACTCCCACCTGTGGTAATGACCTAACCCCCACGTTTAATGAGCTAACCTCCACACCTGTAATGACCTAACCCCCACACCTGTAATGACCTAACTCTCACCTGTAATGACCTAACCTCCACGTTTAATGAGCTAACCTCCACACCTGTAATGACCTAACCCCCACACCTGTAATGACCTAACTCCCACCTGTAATGACCTAACCCCCACGTTTAATGAGCTAACCTCCACGTTTAATGAGCTAACCTCCACACCTGTAATGACCTAACCCCCACACCTGTAATGACCTTACCAGCACCTTTAATGACCTAACCCCCACACATGTAATGACCTAACCTCCAGTCTGCTGGAGCTAAGCTCCTGGTCTCTGGCCAACCTCTGTGCAGATCTGAGCTGTAGCCTGAGGTCCTCTAGCTCAGCTTCCAGCCTGAGCTTGTCACCCTGCATGGACTTGTTGCGCTCTGTCACACAGCTTAGCTCCTCCCTCAGGCCAGCAACCTTTCACACAAGAACATCAAGAATCTTTTAACTTTACACAAGAACATCAAGAATCTTTTAACTTTACACAAGAACATTGGATTTTAACTTTACACAAGAACATTGGAAACATCAAGAATCTTTTAACTTTACACAAGAACATTGGATTTTAACTTTACACAAGAACATTGGAAACATCAAGAATCTTTTAACTTTACACAAGAATATTGGATACATCAAGAATCTTTTTAATTTACACAAGAATATTCTAAACATCAAAAATCTTTTAACTTCACACAAGAACATCAAGAATCTTTTAACTTTACACAAGAATATTGGATACATCAAGAATCTTTTTAATTTACACAAGAATATTCTAAACATCAAAAATCTTTTAACTTCACACAAGAACATCAAGAATCTTTTAACTTTACACAAGAACATTGGAAACATCAAGAATCTTTTAACTTTACACAAGAACATTGGATTTTAACTTTACACAAGAACATTGGAAACATCAAGAATCTTTTAACTTTACACAAGAATATTGGATACATCAAGAATCTTTTTAATTTACACAAGAATATTCTAAACATCAAAAATCTTTTAACTTCACACAAGAACATCAAGAATCTTTTAACTTTACACAAGAATATTGGATACATCAAGAATCTTTTTAATTTACACAAGAATATTCTAAACATCAAAAATCTTTTAACTTCACACAAGAACATCAAGAATCTTTTAACTTTACACAAGAACATTGGAAACATCAAGAATCTTTTAACTTTACACAAGAACATTGGATTTTAACTTTACACAAGAACATTGGAAACATCAAGAATCTTTTAACTTTACACAAGAACATTGGAAACATCAAGAATCTTTTAACGTCACACAAGAACATTGGAAACATCAAGAATCTTTTAACTTTACACAAGAACACTGGAAACATCAAGAATCTTTTAACTTTACACAAGAACATTGGAAACAAAAAAATCTTTTAACTTCACGCAAAACTGTAAATATCAAACACCCTATAACTTCCACATGAAACTGTAAAGACCAAACACCCTATAACTTCCACTGTAAAGATCAAGTAAGTTGACTACAGATACCTCAAGTACTAGTGACCTAATCCTCTGCTCCTTGAGGTCCTGATCGTCCACAAGAGGTGGAGCTGCTGCAGTACAGTTGGCCAGGCTGAGCTCAGACAGAGCTTGACTCAGCTCTTTGTCTCGCAGACCCAGCTGGCTCTGTACTGTGGCCAGCTCTAGCTCTAGCGCTGTGTGTTTTCTGGACAGTTGGCCCAGCTTTGCCTCCTTGTTTGACACGTCAGCTTGCAGCAGCTGGAGTTGTTCTACAACAGTAGTAACATTTGGTGAATGTTCTACAACAGTTGTAACATTTGGTGAATGTTCTACAACAGTTGTAACATTTGGTGAATGTTCTACAACAGTTGTAACATTTGGTGAATGTTCTACAACAGTTGTAACATTTGGTGAATGTTCTACAACAGTTGTAACATTTGGTGAATGTTCTACAACAGTTGTAACATTTGGTGAATGTTCTACAACAGTTGTAACATTTGGGGAATGTTCTACAACAGTTGAAACATTTGGTGAATGTTCTACAACAGTTGTAACATTTGGTGAATGTTCTACAACAGTTGTAACATTTGGGGAATGTTCTACAACAGTTGAAACATTTGGTGAATGTTCTACAACAGTTGTAACATTTGGTGAATGTTCTACAACAGTTGTAACATTTGGTGAATGTTCTACAACAGTTGTAACATTTGGTGAATGTTCTACAACAGTAGTAACATTTGGTGAATGTTCTACAACAGTTGTAACATTTGGTGAATGTTCTACAACAGTTGTAACATTTGGTGAATGTTCTACAACAGTTGTAACATTTGGTGAATGTTCTACAACAGTTGTAACATTTGGTGAATGTTCTACAACAGTTGTAACATTTGGTGAATGTTCTACAACAGTTGTAACATTTGGTGAATGTTCTACAACAGTTGTAACATTTGGGGAATGTTCTACAACAGTTGAAACATTTGGTGAATGTTCTACAACAGTTGTAACATTTGGTGAATGTTCTACAACAGTTGTAACATTTGGTGAATGTTCTACAACAGTTGTAACATTTGGTGAATGTTCTACAACAGTTGTAACATTTGGTGAATGTTCTACAACAGTTGTAACATTTGGTGAATGTTCTACAACAGTTGTAACATTTGGTGAATGTTCTACAACAGTTGTAACATTTGGTGAATGTTCTACAACAGTTGTAACATTTGGTGAATGTTCTACAACAGTTGTAACATTTGGTGAATGTTCTACAACAGTTGTAACATTTGGTGAATGTTCTACAACAGTTGTAACATTTGGTGAATGTTCTACAACAGTTGTAACATTTGGTGAATGTTCTACAACAGTTGTAACATTTGGTGAATGTTCTACAACAGTTGTAACATTTGGTGAATGTTCTACAACAGTTGTAACATTTGGTGAATGTTCTACAACAGTTGTAACATTTGGTGAATGTTCTACAACAGTTGTAACATTTGGTGAATGTTCTACAACAGTTGTAACATTTGGTGAATGTTCTACAACAGTTGTAACATTTGGTGAATGTTCTACAACAGTTGTAACATTTGGTAAATGTTCTACAACAGTTGTAACATTTGGTGAATGTTCTACAACAGTTGTAACATTTGGTGAATGTTCTACAACAGTTGTAACATTTGGTGAATGTTCTACAACAGTTGTAACATTTGGTGAATGTTCTACAACAGTTGTAACATTTGGTGAATGTTCTACAACAGTTGTAACATTTGGTGAATGTTCTACAACAGTTGTAACATTTGGTGAATGTTCTACAACAGTTGTAACATTTGGTGAATGTTCTACAACAGTTGTAACATTTGGTGAATGTTCTACAACAGTTGTAACATTTGGTAAATGTTCTACAACAGTTGTAACATTTGGTGAATGTTCTACAACAGTTGTAACATTTGGTGAATGTTCTACAACAGTTGTAACATTTGGTGAATGTTCTACAACAGTTGTAACATTTGGTGAATGTTCTACAACAGTTGTAACATTTGGTGAATGTTCTACAACAGTTGTAACATTTGGTGAATGTTCTACAACAGTTGTAACATTTGGTGAATGTTCTACAACAGTTGTAACATTTGGTGAATGTTCTACAACAGTTGTAACATTTGGTGAATGTTCTACAACAGTTGTAACATTTGGTGAATGTTCTACAGCAGTTGAAACATTTGGTGAATGTTCTACAACAGTTGTAACATTTGGTGAATGTTCTACAACAGTTGTAACATTTGGTGAATGTTCTACAACAGTTGTAACATTTGGTGAATGTTCTACAACAGTTGTAACATTTGGTGAATGTTCTACAACAGTTGTAACATTTGGTGAATGTTCTACAACAGTTGTAACATTTGGTGAATGTTCTACAACAGTTGTAACATTTGGTGAATGTTCTATGTTACAGTGAAATTATCAATTTTAATATCTGGGTTCTGAAAACAATTTTTTTTATTATTATTAATGGTAATCAAAGCAAGCATTCGTACAGGCAAAGTTTGAAACTTCAGATGCCACATTTGTAACCTATTTATTCAAAAGAATATAAATAACAAATTTTAGTTTAAAAAAGGTACTAAAATTGTAGCCATTAAAATGCAGCAGTTGATATGGTGTTGACAAGTAAACTGAGAGACCTACCTCTGTCTGGTGCCTGCAGGTTGCCACTTGTGTTGTGCAGCGCATGGCGCAGAGAATCATTTTCTGCCTTCAGAGCTGCCATTAGATCCTCCATAGTGGATAGACGAGCCAGCGTGCTGTGTTTCTCTTTCACTAGCTCAGTCAGCTGCCTGTGTGATCAGAGTGTGTGATCACAAACATCTGTTGTGTGTTGTGGGGTGTGTGTCATGTGTTGTTAGAGGCATGTCACATGTCAGTGAGACAAGAATGTTTAGACTAGTGTGTCAAGTGTGAGCTTTGTATCAGCTGGTGCAAGCTGGACTTACTGTTTGTAGATCTGTTCTGAAGCAATCCTCTCAGCACTCACATCTTCACATTTCTCTTCTGTATGTTCCAGCCTGGTCTCACATTCTCTGCTCATGGCTACAGCTGCCTTCATATCAAGGGGATATTGTCAGCATTTTATACCCACAATACACCAGCTACATTCATATCAAGGGGACATTGTCAGCATTTTATACCCACAATACACCAGCTACATTCATATCAAGGGGACATTGTCAGCATTTTATACCCACAATACACCAGCTACATCAATGGGACATTGTCAGCATTTTATACCCACAATACACTAGCTACATTCATATCAAGGGGACATTGTCAGCATTTTATAACCACAATACACCAGCTACATTCATATCATGGGGACATTGTCAGCATTTTATACCCACAATACACCAGCTACATCAAGGGGACATTGTCAGCATTTTATACCCACAATACACTAGCTACATTCATATCATTGGGACATTGTCAGCATTTTATACCCACAATACACCAGCTACATTCATATCATGGGGACATTGTCAGCATTTTATACCCACAATACACCAGCTACATCAAGGGGACATTGTCAGCATTTTATACCCACAATACACTAGCTACATTTATATCAAGGGGACATTGTCAGCATTTTATACCCACAATACACCAGCTACATTCATATCAAGGGGACATTGTCAGCATTTTATACCCACAATACAGCAGCTACAATCATATCATTGGGACATTGTCAGCATTTTATACCCACAATACATCAGCTACATCAATGGGACATTGTCAGCATTTTATACCCACAATACACTAGCTACATTCATATCAAGGGGACATTGTCAGCATTTTATACCCACAATACACCAGCTACATTCATATCAAGGGGACATTGTCAGCATTTTATACCCACAATACACTAGCTACATTCATATCAAGGGGACATTGTCAGCATTTTATACCCACAATACACCAGCTACATTCATATCATTGGTACATTGTCAGCATTTTATACCCACAATACACCAGCTACATCAAGGGGACATTGTCAGCATTTTATACCCACAATACATCAGCTACATCAATGGGACATTGTCAGCATTTTATACCCACAATACACCAGCTACATTCATATCAAGGGGACATTGTCAGCATTTTATACCCACAATACACCAGCTACATCAAGGGGACATTGTCAGCATTTTATACCCACAATACACCAGCTACATTCATATCAAGGGGACATTGTCAGCATTTTATACCCACAATACACTAGCTACATTCATATCAAGGGGACATTGTCAGCATTTTATACCCACAATACACCAGCTACATTCATATCAAGGGGACATTGTCAGCATTTTGTACCCACAGTACACCAGCTACATCAAGGGGACATTGTCAGCATTTTATACCCACAATACATCAGCTACATTCATATCATGGGGACATTGTCAACATTTTATACCCACAATACACCAGCTACATTCATATCAAGGGGACATTGTCAGCATTTTATACCCACAATACATCAGCTACATTCATATCATGGGGACATTGTCAACATTTTATACCCACAATACACCAGCTACATTCATATCAAGGGGACATTGTCAGCATTTTATACCCACAATACATCAGCTACATTCATATCATGGGGACATTGTCAACATTTTATACCCACAATACACCAGCTACATTCATATCAAGGGGACATTGTCAGCATTTTATACCCACAATACACCAGCTACATGTATATTGGCTAAACTATCCCCACTGTACAAGTTACCTGTAGCAGAGACGTAGCCACCAATCCCGGCGCCCAGGGATAAACTTTTCGATTTGCACCCCCCCTTGAGATTTCGATTTGCACCCCCCCCCCCTCAACCTTTCAATTTATCTTTCCAACCCATTTCCCCCCCCCCCCCCTCGCTACGCTACTGACCTGTAGATTGACTAAACTATCCCTACTGTACAAGTTACCTGTAGATTGGCTAAACTATCCCCATACAAGTTACCTGTAGATTGACTAAACTATCCCCACTGTACAAGTTACCTGTAGATTGGCTAAACTATCCCCACTGTACAAGTTACCTGTAGATTGGCTAAACTATCCCCACAATCAGTCAAGTCCAACTGTGTGAGGTAAAGGTCCCACTGTTTGACCTTTTGTTGCAGGACCTTCCTGTCTGACCACAGGTACACCAGAAGTGATTCTCTACTGTAGTCGTCCTCACACAGTCCTTCTAGGTCAAGCTCTTTCAGGACTTCATTCAACTCAGGCTGGGGGTCAGTGATCAGGTGAGTGGTGATGTGGTGAGTAGCCAGGTGAGTGGTGTTGTGGTGAGTAGCCAGGTGAGTGGTGAGTAGCCAGGTGATGTGGTGATGTGGTGAGTAGCCAGGTGATGTGGTGAGTAGCCAGGTGAGTGGTGAGTAGCCAGGTGAGTGGTGATGTGGTGATGTGGTGAGTAGCCAGGTGATGTGGTGATGTGGTGAGTAGCCAGGTGAGTGGTGATGTGGTGAGTAGCCAGGTGATGTGGTGATGTGGTGAGTAGCCAGGTGAGTGGTGATGTGGTGAGTAGCCAGGTGAATGGTGATGTGGTGAGTAGCCAGGTGAGTGGTTGGTAGCCAGGTGAGTGTTGATGTGGTGAGTAGCCAGGTGAGTGGTGATGTGGTGAGTAGACAGGTGATGTGGTGAGTAGCCAGGTGAATGGTGATGTGGTGAGTAGCCAGGTGATGTGGTGATGTGGTGAGTAGCCAGGTGGGTGGTGATGTGGTGAGTAGCCAGGTGAGTGGTGATGTGGTGAGTAGACAGGTGATGTGGTGAGTAGCCAGGTGATGTGGTGAGTAGCCAGGTGATGTGGTGATGTGGTGAGTAGCCAGGTGAGTGGTGTTGTGGTGAGTAGCCAGGTGAGTGGTGAGTAGCCAGGTGATGTGGTGATGTGGTGAGTAGCCAGGTGATGTGGTGAGTAGCCAGGTGAGTGGTGAGTAGCCAGGTGAGTGGTGATGTGGTGATGTGGTGAGTAGCCAGGTGATGTGGTGATGTGGTGAGTAGCCAGGTGAGTGGTGATGTGGTGAGTAGCCAGGTGATGTGGTGATGTGGTGAGTAGCCAGGTGAGTGGTGATGTGGTGAGTAGCCAGGTGAATGGTGATGTGGTGAGTAGCCAGGTGAGTGGTTGGTAGCCAGGTGAGTGTTGATGTGGTGAGTAGCCAGGTGAGTGGTGATGTGGTGAGTAGACAGGTGATGTGGTGAGTAGCCAGGTGAATGGTGATGTGGTGAGTAGCCAGGTGATGTGGTGATGTGGTGAGTAGCCAGGTGGGTGGTGATGTGGTGAGTAGCCAGGTGAGTGGTGATGTGGTGAGTAGACAGGTGATGTGGTGAGTAGCCAGGTGATGTGGTGAGTAGCCAGGTGATGTGGTGATGTGGTGAGTAGACAGGTGATGTGGTGATGTGGTGAGTAGCCAGGTGATGTGGTGATGTGGTGAGTAGACAGGTGATGTGGTGAGTAGCCAGGTGATGTGGTGATGTGGTGAGTAGCCAGGTGATGTGGTGATGTGGTGAGTAGCCAGGTGAATGGTGATGTGGTGAGTAGCCAGGTGATGTGGTGATGTGGTGAGTAGCCAGGTGATGTGGTGATGTGGTGAGTAGCCAGGTGAATGGTGATGTGGTGAGTAGCCAGGTGGGTGGTGAGTAGCCAGATGATGTGGTGATGTGGTGAGTAGCCAGGTGAGTGGTTGGTAGCCAGGTGAGTGGTGATGTGGTGAGTAGCCAGGTGATGTGGTGATGTGGTGAGTAGCCAGGTGGGTGGTGATGTGGTGAGTAGCCAGGTGAATGGTGATGTGGTGAGTAGCCAGGTGAATGGTGATGTGGTGAGTAGCCAGGTGCTGTGGTGATGTGGTGAGTAGCCAGGTGATGTGGTGATGTGGTGAGTAGCCAGGTGAGTGGTGATGTGGTGAGTAGCCAGGTGAATGGTGATGTGGTGAGTAGCCAGATGAGTGGTTGGTAGCCAGGTGAGTGTTGATGTGGTGAGTAGACAGGTGAGTGGTGATGTGGTGAGTAGACAGGTGAGTGGTGATGTGGTGATGTGGTGAGTAGCCAGGTGAGTGGTGATGTGGTGAGTAGCCAGGTGAATGGTGATGTGGTGAGTAGCCAGGTGATGTGGTGATGTGGTGAGTAGCCAGGTGAGTGGTGATGTGGTGAGTAGCCAGGTGATGTGGTGATGTGGTGAGTAGCCAGGTGATGTGGTGATGTGGTGAGTAGCCAGGTGAGTGATGATGTGGTGAGTAGCCAGGTGATGTGGTGAGTAGCCAGGTGGGTGGTGATGTGGTGAGTAGCCAGGTGGGTGGTGATGTGGTGAGTAGCCAGGTGATGTTGTGATGTGGTGAGTAGCCAGGTGAGTGGTGATGTGGTGAAGTGGTGATGTGGTGAGTAGCCAGGTGAGTGGTGATGTGGTGAAGTGGTGATGTGGTGAGTAGCCAGGTGAGTGGTGATGTGGTGAGTAGCCAGGTAGGGGTGATGTGGTGATATGGTGAATGCTTAAAACATGTTGAGGGGTAAGTTATACAGTCATGTGATGATTTAAACATGTAATGGGTGATTGTGTCATTATGTAACCAATGCATTAGGCATTGGGTGAGTTTGGAGATTGGTGTGACCTACCAGCCTTTGATCTGGCCACCTGTGTCGCCCACCAGGAATGTGGTAGCTGATGTCCTCCTGCTCAGGCAGGGCCAGCCTCAGCTGGAGGTTCTCCTCCCTCAGCTCCTTCACCTTCTGCTCCAGCAGCCTCGTCTTCTCCTTCTCTCTCTTCAGCTGGCGCTCCACCTCCTGGGCCTTGGTCTTTCAAAGACAAGCAGGTCAGTTCACAAGATGGCTGCTCAGGTCAAGGTCACAGGTCAGTCAGGTCATGAGGTGGTTATTGTAAGGTCAAGGTCAGCCAGCAACTGAGACAAACAGGTCAGCCAGCCATCAAACACTTTCCTGCAATGACTAAAAGCTCTGTACCTGTAGCTTGGCATTCTCTGACAACAGCCTCTCCTCTATGTGTGAGACATTGCCAGCACGGTCTGACCTCTCTTGGGCCAGACGTTCCTCTGTGATCTGCAGCCGCATTTGTAAAGCTGCAATCTGGAATGTTGTGGTACACATTGTACTGTCACAGTGTCACACACACGCATGACACACACACATGACACACACACACTGACACCTTGACAAAAACATGACATGAGATTAGCCCACCTGTTTCTCCGCCACATTACCCTCACTGCCACCACCCAGCTCCCTCTGTAGAGTCTCTAGAGTCTGTGCCAGCTGCTGGACCTGCCCTGCTAGTTCACGGCTCCTGCTAGACTCCAGCTCTACAGCTCTCTCACTTTCTTCAAGCAGGTGCTTCACATCTGCTACTTGTTTCTACAATAGTAACATCTTCTATAGCAGAAAACAGGCGCTTCACATCTGCTACTTGTTTCTACAATAGTAACATCTTCTATAGCAGAAAACAGGGGCTTCACATTTGCTACTTGTTTCTACAATATTAACATCTTCTATAGCAGAAAACAGGTGCTTCACATAAGCTACTTGTTTCTACAATATTAACATCATCTCTAGCAGTAGCCTACACCTACCTGTAAGAGCTCCCTCTCCTGGGTGTGAGCCTGGTGCAGCCTGCTCCTGTCAGTGCTCACCTTCCAAGTCTCTGTCCTCACACTACACAGCTCATCCTCCAGTTGCTTCAGCTGGGGGCAAAGTCAGGTCTTAGGTCACACAGGTTAGGTCACTGGCTCACATGTTTAGGTTAGGTCATGGGCTCCATGTTTAACACAGGTTAGGTCATGGGCTCACATGTTTAACACAGGTTAGGTCATGGGCTCCATGTTTAGGTTAGGTCATGGGCTCCATGTTTAACACAGGTTAGGTCATAGGCTCACATGTTTAACACAGGTTAGGTCACGGGCTCACATGTTTAACACAGGTTAGGTCATGGGCTCACATGTTTAGGTTAGGTCATGGGCTCACATGTTTAACACAGGTTAGGTCATGGGCTCACATGTTTAGGTTAGGTCATAGGCTCACAAGTTTAACACAGGTTAGGTCATGGGCTCACATGTTTAGGTTAGGTCATGGGCTCACATGTTTAACACAGGTTAGGTCATGGGCTCACATGTTTAACACAGGTTAGGTCATGGGCTCCATGTTTAACACAGGTTAGGTCATGGACTCACATGTTTAACACAGGTTAGGTCATGGGCTCCATGTTTAACACAGGTTAGGTCATGGGCTCACATGTTTGACACAGGTTAGGTCATGGGCTCCATGTTTAACACAGGTTAGGTCATGGGCTCACATGTTTAACACAGGTTAGGTCATGGGCTCACATGTTTAGGTTAGGTCATAGGCTCACAAGTTTAACACAGGTTAGGTCATGGGCTCCATGTTTAGGTTAGGTCATGGGCTCCATGTTTAACACAGGTTAGGTCATAGGCTCACATGTTTAACACAGGTTAGGTCACGGGCTCACATGTTTAACACAGGTTAGGTCATGGGCTCACATGTTTAGGTTAGGTCATGGGCTCACATGTTTAACACAGGTTAGGTCATGGGCTCACATGTTTAGGTTAGGTCATAGGCTCACAAGTTTAACACAGGTTAGGTCATGGGCTCACATGTTTAGGTTAGGTCATGGGCTCACATGTTTAACACAGGTTAGGTCATGGGCTCACATGTTTAACACAGGTTAGGTCATGGGCTCCATGTTTAACACAGGTTAGGTCATGGACTCACATGTTTAACACAGGTTAGGTCATGGGCTCCATGTTTAACACAGGTTAGGTCATGGGCTCACATGTTTGACACAGGTTAGGTCATGGGCTCACATGTTTAATGTTATCTAGCTGTAAAAAAAGGTTTTTTACTTCAGACTTGAGGAGCAAGATCTCCTTGGCTGAGGCAGCTGCCTTCATCTGGTAGTGCTCCACCTCCCTGGCTGTCTGAGCCCTGACCACCTCCTCCACATGGGAGGACACCCTGTCCCTCTCACTTTGAAGGTCACTGACCTCTGACATGGCTTGCTCAAGTTGCTTTTCAAGTACAGTCACTCTAGCTGGAACATAAACATGTATCAACACAGTGGTACAGTCACTCTAGCTGGAACATGTGTCTACACAGTGGTACAGTCACTCTAGCTGGAACATAAACATGTATCAACACAGTGGTACAGTCACTCTAGCTGGAACATGTGTCTACACAGAGGTACAGCCACTCTAGCTGGAACATGTATCAACACAGTGGTACAGCCACTCTAGCTGGAACATGTATCAACACAGTGGTACAGTCACTCTAGCTGGAACATGTGTCTACACAGTGGTACAGTCACTCTAGCTGGAACATAAACATGTATCAACACAGTGGTACAGTCACTCTAGCTGGAAAATGTATCAACACAGTGGTACAGCCACTCTAGCTGGAACATAAACATGTATCAACACAGTGGTACAGTCACTCTAGCTGGAACATAAACATGTATCAACACAGTGGTAGAGTCACTCTAGCTGGAACATAAACATGTATCAACACAGTGGTACAGTCACTCTAGCTGCAACATGTATCAACACAGTGGTACAGTCACTCTAGCTGGAACATGTATCAACACAGTGGTACAGTCACTCTAGCTGGAACATGTAATCAACACAGTGGTACAGTCACTCTAGCTGGAACATGTATCAACACAGTGGTACAGTCACTCTAGCTGGAACATGTATCGACACAGTGGTACAGTCACTCTAGCTGGAACATGTAATCAACACAGTGGTACAGTCACTCTAGCTGGAACATGTATCAACACAGTGGTACAGTCACTCTAGCTGGAACATGTATCGACACAGTGGTACAGTCACTCTAGCTGGAACATGTATCAACACAGAGGTACAGCCACTCTAGCTGGAACATGTATCAACACAGAGGTACAGCCACTCTAGCTGGAACATGTATCAACACAGAGGTACAGCCACTCTAGCTGGAACATGTATCAACACAGTGGTACAGCCACTCTAGCTGGAACATGTATCAACACAGTGGTACAGTCACTCTAGCTGGAACATGTATCGACACAGTGGTACAGTCACTCTAGCTGGAACATGTAATCAACACAGTGGTACAGCCACTCTAGCTGGAACATGTATCAACACAGAGGTACAGCCACTCTAGCTGCAACATAAACATGTATCAACACAGAGGTACAGCCACTCTAGCTGGAACATGTATCAACACAGAGGTACAGCCACTCTAGCTGGAACATGTATCAACACAGTGGTACAGCCACTCTAGCTGGAACATGTATCAACACAGAGGTACAGCCACTCTAGCTGGAACATGTATCAACACAGAGGTACAGCCACTCTAGCTGGAACATGTATCAACACAGAGGTACAGCCACTCTAGCTGGAACATGTATCAACACAGTGGTACAGTCACTCTAGCTGGAACATAAACATGTATCAACACAGTGGTAGAGTCACTCTAGCTGGAACATAAACATGTATCAACACAGTGGTACAGTCACTCTAGCTGGAACATAAACATGTATCAACACAGTGGTACAGTCACTCTAGCTGGAACATGTATCAACACAGTGGTACAGTCACTCTAGCTGGAACATGTATCAACACAGTGGTACAGTCACTCTAGCTGGAACATAAACATGTATCGACACAGTGGTACAGTCACTCTAGCTGGAACATGTGTCTACACAGTGGTACAGTCACTCTAGCTGGAACATGTGTCTACACAGTGGTACAGTCACTCTAGCTGGAACATGTATCAACACAGAGGTACAGCCACTCTAGCTGGAACATAAACATGTATCAACACAGTGGTACAGCCACTCTAGCTGGAACATGTATCAACACAGAGGTACAGCCACTCTAGCTGGAACATGTATCAACACAGTGGTACAGTCACTCTAGCTGGAACATGTATCAACACAGTGGTACAGTCACTCTAGCTGGAACATGTATCAACACAGTGGTACAGTCACTCTAGCTGGAACATGTATCAACACAGTGGTACAGCCACTCTAGCTGGAACATGTATCAACACAGAGGTACAGCCACTCTAGCTGGAACATGTATCAACACAGAGGTACAGCCACTCTAGCTGGAACATGTATCAACACAGAGGTACAGCCACTCTAGCTGGAACATGTATCAACACAGAGGTACAGCCACTCTAGCTGGAACATAAACATGTATCAACACAGTGGTACAGCCACTCTAGCTGGAACATGTATCAACACAGTGGTACAGCCACTCTAGCTGGAACATAAACATGTAACAACACAGTGGTACAGTCACTCTAGCTGGAACATGTATCAACACAGTGGTACAGCCACTCTAGCTGGAACATGTATCAACACAGAGGTACAGCCACTCTAGCTGGAACATGTATCAACACAGAGGTACAGCCACTCTAGCTGGAACATGTATCAACACAGTGGTACAGCCACTCTAGCTGGAACATGTATCAACACAGAGGTACAGCCACTCTAGCTGGAACATAAACATGTATCAACACAGTGGTACAGCCACTCTAGCTGGAACATGTATCAACACAGTGGTACAGTCACTCTAGCTGGAACATGTATCAACACAGTGGTACAGCCACTCTAGCTGGAACATGTATCAACACAGAGGTACAGCCACTCTAGCTGGAACATGTATCAACACAGTGGTACAGCCACTCTAGCTGGAACATGTATCAACACAGTGGTACAGTCACTCTAGCTGGAACATGTATCAACACAGTGGTACAGTCACTCTAGCTGGAACATGTATCAACACAGAGGTACAGCCACTCTAGCTGGAACATAAACATGTATCAACACAGTGGTACAGCCACTCTAGCTGGAACATGTATCAACACAGAGGTACAGCCACTCTAGCTGGAACATGTATCAACACAGAGGTACAGCCACTCTAGCTGGAACATGTATCAACACAGAGGTACAGCCACTCTAGCTGCAACATAAACATGTATCAACACAGTGGTACAGTCACTCTAGCTGGAACATAAACATGTATCAACACAGAGGTACAGCCACTCTAGCTGGAACATGTATCAACACAGTGGTACAGTCACTCTAGCTGGAACATAAACATGTATCAACACAGTGGTACAGCCACTCTAGCTGGAACATAAACATGTATCAACACAGTGGTACAGTCACTCTAGCTGGAACATAAACATGTATCAACACAGTAGTACAGTCACTCTAGCTGGAACATGTAACAACACAGTGGTACAGTCACTCTAGCTGGAACATGTATCAACACAGTGGTACAGTCACTCTAGCTGGAACATGTATCAACACAGTGGTACAGTCACTCTAGCTGGAACATGTATCAACACAGTGGTACAGTCACTCTAGCTGGAACATAAACATGTATCAACACAGAGGTACAGCCACTCTAGCTGGAACATGTATCAACACAGAGGTACAGCCACTCTAGCTGGAACATAAACATGTATCAACACAGTGGTACAGTCACTTTAGCTGGAACATGTATCAACACAGAGGTACAGCCACTCTAGCTGGAACATGTATCAACACAGAGGTACAGTCACTCTAGCTGGAACATGTATCAACACAGTGGTACAGTCGCTCTAGCTGGAACATGTATCAACACAGAGGTACAGCCACTCTAGCTGGAACATGTATCAACACAGTGGTACAGTCACTCTAGCTGGAACATAAACATGTATCAACACAGTGGTACAGCCACTCTAGCTGGAACATAAACATGTATCAACACAGTGGTACAGTCACTCTAGCTGGAACATAAACATGTATCAACACAGTAGTACAGTCACTCTAGCTGGAACATGTAACAACACAGTGGTACAGTCACTCTAGCTGGAACATGTATCAACACAGTGGTACAGTCACTCTAGCTGGAACATGTATCAACACAGAGGTACAGCCACTCTAGCTGGAACATGTATCAACACAGAGGTACAGCCACTCTAGCTGGAACATATACATGTATCAACACAGTGGTACAGCCACTCTAGCTGGAACATGTATCAACACAGAGGTACAGCCACTCTAGCTGGAACATGTATCAACACAGTGGTACAGCCACTCTAGCTGGAACATGTATCAACACAGTGGTACAGCCACTCTAGCTGGAACATGTATCAACACAGTGGTACAGCCACTCTAGCTGGAACATGTATCAACACAGTGGTACAGTCACTCTAGCTGGAACATAAACATGTATCAACACAGAGGTACAGCCACTCTAGCTGGAACATGTATCAACACAGTGGTACAGTCACTCTAGCTGGAACATAACCATGTATCAACACAGTGGTACAGTCACTTTAGCTGGAACATGTATCAACACAGAGGTACAGCCACTCTAGCTGGAACATGTATCAACACAGAGGTACAGTCACTCTAGCTGGAACATGTATCAACACAGAGGTACAGTCACTCTAGCTGGAACATGTATCAACACAGTGGTACAGTCACTCTAGCTGGAACATGTATCAACACAGAGGTACAGCCACTCTAGCTGGAACATGTATCAACACAGTGGTACAGTCACTCTAGCTGGAACATAAACATGTATCAACACAGTGGTACAGTCACTCTAGCTGGAACATGTATCAACACAGTGGTACAGTCACTCTAGCTGGAACATGTATCAACACAGAGGTACAGCCACTCTAGCTGGAACATGTATCAACACAGAGGTACAGCCACTCTAGCTGGAACATGTATCAACACAGTGGTACAGTCACTCTAGCTGCAACATAAACATGTATCAACACAGTGGTACAGTCACTCTAGCTGGAACATGTATCAACACAGTGGTACAGCCACTCTAGCTGGAACATGTATCAACACAGTGGTACAGCCACTCTAGCTGGAACATGTATCAACACAGTGGTACAGTCACTCTAGCTGGAACATAAACATGTATCAACACAGTGGTACAGTCACTCTAGCTGGAACATGTATCAACACAGAGGTACAGCCACTCTAGCTGGAACATAAACATGTATCAACACAGTGGTACAGTCACTCTAGCTGGAACATGTATCAACACAGTGGTACAGTCACTCTAGCTGGAACATGTATCAACACAGAGGTACAGCCACTCTAGCTGGAACATGTATCAACACAGAGGTACAGCCACTCTAGCTGGAACATGTATCAACACAGAGGTACAGCCACTCTAGCTGGAACATGTATCAACACAGTGGTACAGTCACTCTAGCTGGAACATGTATCAACACAGAGGTACAGCCACTCTAGCTGGAACATGTATCAACACAGAGGTACAGCCACTCTAGCTGGAACATGTATCAACACAGTGGTACAGTCACTCTAGCTGGAACATGTATCAACACAGTGGTACAGTCACTCTAGCTGGAACATGTATCAACACAGTGGTACAGTCACTCTAGCTGGAACATGTATCAACACAGAGGTACAGCCACTCTAGCTGGAACATGTATCAACACAGAGGTACAGCCACTCTAGCTGGAACATGTATCAACACAGTGGTACAGCCACTCTAGCTGGAACATGTATCAACACAGTGGTACAGTCACTCTAGCTGGAACATGTATCAACACAGAGGTACAGCCACTCTAGCTGGAACATGTATCAACACAGTGGTACAGCCACTCTAGCTGGAACATGTATCAACACAGTGGTACAGTCACTCTAGCTGGAACATAAACATGTATCAACACAGTGGTACAGCCACTCTAGCTGGAACATAAACATGTATCAACACAGTGGTACAGTCACTCTAGCTGGAACATGTATCAACACAGTGGTACAGTCACTCTAGCTGGAACATAAACATGTATCAACACAGTGGTACAGCCACTCTAGCTGGAACATAAACATGTATCAACACAGTGGTACAGTCACTCTAGCTGGAACATGTATCAACACAGAGGTACAGCCACTCTAGCTGGAACATAAACATGTATCAACACAGAGGTACAGCCACTCTAGCTGGAACATGTATCAACACAGTGGTACAGTCGCTCTAGCTGGAACATGTAATCAACACAGTGGTACAGTCACTCTAGCTGGAACATAAACATGTATCAACACAGTGGTACAGTCACTCTAGCTGGAACATAAACATGTATCAACACAGTGGTACAGCCACTCTAGCTGGAACATGTATCAACACAGAGGTACAGCCACTCTAGCTGGAACATAAACATGTATCAACACAGAGGTACAGCCACTCTAGCTGGAACATGTATCAACACAGAGGTACAGCCACTCTAGCTGGAACATGTATCAACACAGTGGTACAGTCACTCTAGCTGGAACATAAACATGTATCAACACAGTGGTACAGCCACTCTAGCTGGAACATGTATCAACACAGAGGTACAGTCACTCTAGCTGGAACATAACCATGTATCAACACAGTGGTACAGTCACTCTAGCTGGAACATAAACATGTATCAACACAGAGGTACAGCCACTCTAGCTGGAACATGTATCAACACAGTAGTACAGTCACTCTAGCTGGAACATGTATCAACACAGTGGTACAGCCACTCTAGCTGGAACATAAACATGTATCAACACAGTGGTACAGCCACTCTAGCTGGAACATGTATCAACACAGAGGTACAGCCACTCTAGCTGGAACATGTATCAACACAGAGGTACAGCCACTCTAGCTGGAACATAAACATGTATCAACACAGTGGTACAGCCACTCTAGCTGGAACATGTAACAACACAGTGGTACAGCCACTCTAGCTGGAACATAAACATGTATCAACACAGTGGTACAGCCACTCTAGCTGGAACATAAACATGTATCAACACAGTGGTACAGTCACTCTAGCTGGAACATAAACATGTATCAACACAGTGGTACAGCCACTCTAGCTGGAACATGTATCAACACAGTAGTACAGCCACTCTAGCTGGAACATGTATCAACACAGTGGTACAGCCACTCTAGCTGGAACATGTATCAACACAGTGGTACAGTCACTCTAGCTGGAACATGTAACAACACAGTGGTACAGTCACTTTAGCTGGAACATGTATCAACACAGAGGTACAGCCACTCTAGCTGGAACATGTATCAACACAGTGGTACAGTCACTCTAGCTGGAACATGTATCAACACAGAGGTACAGCCACTCTAGCTGGAACATGTATCAACACAGAGGTACAGCCACTCTAGCTGGAACATGTATCAACACAGTGGTACAGTCACTCTAGCTGGAACATAAACATGTATCAACACAGAGGTACAGCCACTCTAGCTGGAACATGTATCAACACAGTGGTACAGTCACTCTAGCTGGAACATGTATCAGTATAGTGGTACAACTCACAAACTTGCTGCAGCACACAGTGTTGAAGATGACAGGAATGTCAACAGCATACAGAAACTGCTCAACTATACAGCGCTACAGTTTAAAAATTATCCAGACTCACCAGAAGCACGGCTGTATTTATTTTTTATCATCTTGTTTTCCATCAAGAGAGCAGAGTTTTCAAAATTTAATTTTTTCATCTGACCTTCCATTAATTCCTGAAGACATGGAATCATATAAATACATATAAATATACATATATATATATATATATATATATATATATATATATATATATATATATATATATATATATATATATATATATATATATATATATATACATATATATATATATATACATATATATACATATATATATACATATATATATATATATATATATATATACATATATATATATATATACATATATATACATATATATATACATATATATATATATATATATATATATATATATATATATATATATATATATATATATATATATATATATATATATATATATATATACCCTTGAAACTTGGTGACAAGACTACTGACACTTGGTCACCTCTATGACACTTAATGACCCTCCATAACAAGCCGGCCACTTGTGGACAAGAAACATTCTAACTATCCACAAAATATGTACTTAACAAAATGTCAACTTACTTTCCCAGGGATGGATCCATCCATCAGTGGACTTACAATGGCAGCCATCTCTGTGAAGACTGAGGCTAATAACAGAACAAAACATTCATATAAGAAACATGGAAATAAAAACAATAGAAAAAAAAGGTTTCATCCAGCAAGCAGTTCTAAATATAATCATTCAGCCAGATGACATTGCGGAAAGGGTTTCAAGTGTTCATATCCACAAGATGAAGAGAAGAAATGCCACAGTATGATCCAGACTCAATGAATCAATTTTTACCTCACTGATTGACCCAACTATTTCTATAATGATTTAATTCATTGTTAGATCTTATATTATTTTACATAAATATAATGAAATTTAAAGATTTATGTTAATGTTCAGCAGGCCTGATAAATAAAATTTGGTTTTCACCTTAAGCTCAGTAGAAGGACTATGATGTTTCTCCTGTTGACTACAGCAGATAGTCATAAGCGTGACTTTGTTTGGAACTTGAATATTTTTTCAATATTCATGTTTTAAAATATAAATTTTACATTACACTTTTTAAATTGTTTATTATGTACCAAAATAAAGCATAAAATCACAAACTTAAAACCAAAATTGCCTCACTAATTGTCCCTCATTTACCTGTATTTCTGCAGGTAGTTTCACATTTTAATTTAGCACTTTACCACAAATGTACACAATATAGAATGTAGATCTGGAGTCTACTCAATCTCACCCAATGGCATCAAAGTGGCCATTACATACTTTTTTAAATGCAGTGCGTGATGACGCGATTTAGAAACTAGTGTGCCCGTCCTCACGCATTGCTGTGGAGTTTAAAGAAAGTCCGAGGATAGCCCAGAGCAAGAAGCACCCTGATGCGCCTGATTCAGTTTAGTGAACGACTATAATACTAGATCTACTTCTTATCCACATTGTATCACACTTTTTTAAACTAACGTTTTAAATTATAGTCATGGTCTACTAGTAGAGTCTACTAGTAGTAGACCATGCATGAGTGGGTAGACTAGACAAGTAGACAGTATAGTCGTGTAGGGTAAAGCTCCATTTTAGAGTATTTTATTCTCTGCTTCTTGTTTACGTCCAGTTGAGCGTATTATATTATAATAACCGAAACACACCAAAACATTAGGAAAACATGATTTATTTATTTGTATTGTATTTTTGTTTTAACAAATGAATCAAAATTAATTTTAATGTTTTAGATTTGGATAATTTACTTTTGTCAAAACTTGAGAAAAAAACAAATTTAGAATATTGAATGTGCTATGTTCGTGTGTCAGTTAGAATTTTCATGGCAATGGGTGAAGTACGTAAAGGTAAATCACAATTGCAAGGCAGTTAAGTTTGTATTGTTACAAGTATCTCCCAGGCATGATACTATTTATAGATAAACAGTTATGAACTTACAATGACCCCAAAACTGAGGCCAACACAATTTCAAACAGCTATTGCCCAAGCTATGACGTATGCTGATAATGAAAGTCAATGTGAACTCACAGTGAACCCGCGACAGTGTAAGGAGTTTTTTCCCGCTGACGATCAAACAATATTTAATTGGAACAGTTCTAATGCTTTTTTATGTTTATTTTACCTTTTCTAATTAATAATCACATTCATAAAAAAATAAGTAGATCTAGTGTTTTCCTAACGTTTTGTGTGTTTCGGTTGTGCTTTTAATAAAATGCGCTCAACTAGAAGAACGTGAAGCGGGGAATAAAATACGCTAAAATGGAGTTTTACTCCATTTTAGCTAGTGTAGATTCTACACTCTACAGTGTAGAAGTGTAGAGTGTATGTATAGTCTACACACTCTACACTCTATACTTGAGTCTATACACAATAATCTACTCTAGACTATTTGAATTTAGGCCTAATTATATTAGTACTATTAATTAAGAACTTAGTGATTCTAGATTAGATGTAAATCTAGATGTAGATCTAGCTAGATTTAATAATTTAATTACTTAGAATTTTAGAGATTGAATCCACCTGCCGTGAGGGCTGTCAGGCCCTGGTCCACCAGGACAAAAATAATTGTTAAATTTGCATTAGGCTATTTTTAACACCGATGTTTAATCTAAATTATAATAGGGCCTATACAATTCGAATTATTTAATGCCGGTAACTGTACTACCTGATAGTTAGTGCTCCCTCATAAAACTTCTTTCCAAATAGGCCTATAATAAATATTAAATATCTAAGCAGAAGTGAGTGACCACCATCTTTGTAAACAATTCCGGAGTTGGCATATCTAAGGCAAACTATGATTGGGAAAAAAGGTGGACAGGAATCGACTTTCATCACTCGATATTAAAAATTACTATTTTAAAATTTTGGTTATAGATTCTACAATAGCACGTTGTTTAAACGATTTTTTATAATATACCATATTACAAGCTTTTATTTAAGTTGCTTCCTCGTCATTTCTGTCGTCATAGATCGAAACGGGCTTTTCGCACACGGACGTTTAAATATTAGGATTGGATACCTTTACCAATATTTAGAAGATATCCACACTTTTCTTTACAGTTATTTAAATAGTAGTGTATTTATTTATTTAAAGAAAATCCTTTGTTTTCTCCCTTTTAGTGCATTATTACATAAAAGCTTGTTATTAAAACGTTTTTATGTATTATTTTCCTTTTTTACTTCCTCGTAAACAGAGTATAGAGAAAGTATTGCACAAAATTCAAATCCGATTTTTGGCGTTTCACACCTCCTAACTTTCTGTATACCGTATAATTTCCGAGTAATCATTCAAGACATCTAAATCAAGATTTATCAAAATCTAAACATTTTATTTTAGAGTATCCGTCGGAAAAACTTTTTGCAATGTTGTCTTCGAACACTAACTTAAGTAACGTTTCAGTTCTGAGGACAAAATTTCACATAGGCCTCTAGATCTAGATCTATATCATATTTGTCGTGTACTACCAACTTTTACGCTCTTTACAGTGATGAACGGTTTCTCAAAAGCCGATGTTAGATGGACGAACAGGTTTCTTTCAACTTTAGAACGACCTTCGGTAACCAGAAGTGGTACATTATTTCTATGAAACACAATAATTTGAGCACTGATTCATTTAGATGAGATTTCCTATATAAGTATAAGATCTTATAGTTAGGCCACTTTAAATTTTTAATTATACTCTGATATCCGGGAGTGGTACTTTTTTCCTGTTTCTAAAATATCAAATACCAATAAACTCTGACCGTTTATGGAAGGTAGACTAAGTTTCATACATTGGGATTTCTGATTTCTCAACACACAAAAAAATAGAATTTGATAATTTTTATATCATATTTTTAAAGCAGTATATTCTAAGAACCTTTTACCTCTGTATTTTCTCAAAAAGCGATCAGTTTTATAAAAAAAAAATTTAGTTTCTATAGCCATTCTAAACTTATTGTTATATAAGAATATCTATATATATAATTCTCTTCTGGGAGCCGTTAGAAAACAAGCTGCAAGCGCCTCCTTACAGTCCCCTCTCTTTCTCTCTATCACTATCACTACCACCCCCACCCCACCCCCACATTGTCTGGTGAGTTGTGGTCACGCTAAATTAAATGTTTACAAATCGTAGAGCTGGGTTTAGTGACGGCTATTAGGGGCAGATAATTTAGTTTGAAACGATTTTAAACTTACAGGAGGTAACTAAGAGGAGGCTGCTTTCACGGGGGGGGGGGGGGGGGAGTGTAGGGTCGGGGTTAGGGGAAAGGGGGGGGGTTAGTGTTTTAAAGCAAATATTTTCAGTGGCAGCATTGGTACTGTCGAATTCACAAATTATGAATTACTGAAAAGTAGAAAATAAAACAACTAAATAGCGGCGTATGATACGCCGCGGGTCGGCTCGTATAGGTATATTGTGTGTATGTGCGTGTGTGTGTGCTTGTGTGTTTCCATAAGCAGACATACAACACAACAGAATCATCTTTCACATCGTATTTTGTGAATTTAATCTAACAAGATCCACTGTAAAACTACGGGGTGAGAATAGTTGAATAGCTCTCGGCTGTCTACGTGATGGTCATGGAACTGGACATAAATAGTTTTGTTAAAGTTGGTGAGTTGTAGGCACAAGTCACGTGATTTGAATTGGTGACGAACGGAATATGTCTATGGGGGGGGGGGGGGTTGTCTTGTGGCAAGGCTTGGGTTGCAGGTCCATCAGAGCCACTCGAGTTCCTGGTTGGCCTTACTGTCTGCACAGATCTGGTAGTGACGGGACGAGTGCTGGTAAGAAAAGGCCATAATGTTTTCCTGTGGGACCAGAGGCAGGGGGGAACACACTGGTAGGTCGGGCGAGTTGCGCTGCGACTTGGGAAGGGGTAATCGAACACCCCACGGGAAAGGCAGGGCGTTGTGGGGGTATGCAGGTAGGCAGGAGGTGGGCGCTATGGAGACGTACTCGCTGGGCACGACGTAAGTCAGGAACTTGGATGGCCGGTACAACACCCGCCTCTCATGCACGGAGATGTCGGACCTTTTCTTTTTCTTTTTTTTCTTATGACGAGTCTCCTGGACAAATGAATCATCACTGTCGCCGTGTAAATAGCTGGGAAGGGTTGCAGATGCTGACGACGGGGCTCGACTTCCGGCGTCAGCGTGGCCCATCCAGCGCCTGAACTCTTCCTGCTGTGAGATGTAGGCCTGCACGGGCAGGAGCACGCTGTCCTCCGCCAGCTCGGGGTTGGACGGTGGCTTCTCCTCGGCTAGTCTGCCTTGGTCGTCGTCAGCAGACGACGTCGTGTCTGTTGTCTGAGAAGAATCTTCGGAGCTCCTGTTGGTTTGATTCATGTCACTTCTGCTAGTGGTGGAGCTAGTGGTCGGTGTACGGGCGTTCGTGTTCCGGTTTCCTAGACTGGCCTCTGTGTCGGGAGCCGTTCTATAGACCTTGCTGACTGCTCGCTCGTTAGGCCTGTCTCCAGTGACCCCCATTCTTCCAGCGATGTAAACCCTAGGCTGGAACAGTTGGGAGATCAAATTCTCCTAGGTTCATCCGTTGTAAGTCTCCTGCAAAGGTTAACAATCTCAGATGAAGCGTGTGTTAAAGTCAAGTTCTTTTTATTTATCTTATCTTTATCACCCACTTTCTCTCTCTGTCTTATTTATATGTATTCGTGATTTTGATCACAAGTACCGATTATTAATTAGGAGAGCTCTACATCCATGACAGTTCTATGCCCTAGAGCAGGGGTCTCCAAACTACGGCCCGCGGGCCGGATGCGGCCCGCGAAGTCCTCTCATCCGGCCCGCGGAGATCTTTTTGTACAAGGGAAAATCGTTTGTTGGTGATAGCTGAGGAACTTTGCCCAGAAAAAATCAAAGACATGCCTTGAAGAAACTGGCCCCCGAACTGAAATTTGATAGTTAATGCGGCCCTCGGACTGAAAAGTTTGGAGACCCCTGCCCTAGAGCAACCCTTATATAGTGATCTAACAAAGCTTAAAATATTGTATTGTTTGGATGACTTAATGATTCGTTCGGTGTGGTTGATGTCACCAGAGTTTCTTCCAGGCATCATATATACTTTTAACAGTGTCCGGCCCCCCGAAAATTTTAGTCCGCCTCCCCACCCCAGAAAATTTCAAGTCCCCCCCCCCCCCCCGGTTGAAAAAGTCTGGAAGAAACACTTGTCACTGATCATGTAGGTAGAGAGTAGCTGTTATTTCTATGTAGATGGGAAACAGGAAATCGATCGAGATATGGTGTAGCTAGATTCTAGATCTAGATTCTAATTCTAAAAAATCACATAGATCTCTAGATCTCTAATCTAGCCGTTGTTTTGTTGTTTTGTTTGTTGTTGTTGTTTTTACTAGGATAATCCTTCAATTTGTAAAGCAAATCCTTTGATACGGTTCTCGCTGTGTCTACCAGGCTCACTTGTATTGAATGCACCGATTGCATACCTGGGTAGGGTGGTTGACCTGTAACTGCCATCAGAAATTATCACAATCCATCTGAATCCAACGGCCAGGCACGATAAAGGGAAGACAAGTGAAGCGAGCCGTTCATCAGAAGCCTCCCACTGGTAGTACCGCGGGGATGTCAGACCGCACCACAATATGGTGCGAAGGAATCTGGCGCATTGGTTGCATTGGGCTTAGGCAGTGGCGTAGCGAGGTCGGGTGTCACCCAGTGCGGCATCTATTGGTGTCATACCCCCCCCCCGTAAGATATATATATATATATATATATATATATATATATATATATATATATATATATATATATATATATATATATATATATATATATATATATGTATATATTTCATATACACTTGTAAGTATGTGAATACGCATGTGTATATGTATTCACATTTTTTTCTGGATGTATTTAATTTTTATTACCACCCCCCCCCCCCCCATCCTACACCATACATTGATTAACACTTAAGTTATTACGATTCTCAACCAAACCGTTTTCCTCGGGGATATTTTGCAACGTTTAGTTGATGTGACTCCCACTCCCCCACGGTGATTGCTTTAAACTGTGCTCAGATAATACTAACAATTTTTATCTATAGCCGGTTATAAATACAGCTGGATGTAGCGTGTTTTCTCTTTCATCAGCAGGTTTACGTCATGGTGTCACCCCGCCCCCTCTCCACCTTTGTCGGGATCTGTCAACTGCTCTTAAAAGACTATTTAGCTCACTGTAATCATTTAATTATATGGAATTATCATCTTTCTCTATATATTTTACTATTTTTGCCTTGGTGTCACCCCCAAATGGTGTCACCCGGGTGTAGTCCGCCCCCCCCCCCCCCAGCAACACCACCCCCTCGTGACGCCCTGAGCTTAGGATGTCCAAAACATAAAAGCAGATTTTCTTCCATGCATTTCTTCGGGGGGGGGGGGGAAGGAGGAGAAAGACAAACACCCCCACCCCCCCCCCCCCCCGAACAAAGAATAAAAACACTGCATAAAAGTAAAAGACGTTTCAAAGTAAGGTCTGCGTCAGATATTAACGACAAATCGACAATCACTGTAATGTGTTATATCTTAATATTAAAATAGGCGTAGTCCTGAAGTCTTATATGACAACGACCTTAGTCATGATCTAAAATGGCTTCATTCTGGCATCAGTGATAATGGGCACAAAGGCTTGATATTAGGGCAGGACTAACGGTGGGCTTAGGGCAGGACTAACGGTGGGCTTAGGGCAGGACTAACGGTGGGCTTAGGGCAGGACTAACGGTGGGCTTAGGGTAGGACTAACGGTGGGCTTAGGGCAGGACTAACGGTGGGCTTAGGGCAGGACTAAAGGTGGGCTTAGGGCAGGACTAACGGTGGGCTTAGGGCAGGACTAAAGGTAGGCTTAAGGTAGGACTAACGGTGGGCTTAGGGCAGGACTAACGGCGGGCTTAAGGCAGGACTAACGGTGGGCTTAGGGCAGGAATAAAAGTGGGCTTAGGGCAGGACTAACGGTGGGCTTAAGGCAGGACTAACGGTGGGCTTAAGGCAGGACTAAAGGTAGGCTTAAGGCAGGACTAACGGTGGGCTTAAGGCAGGACTAAAGGTGGGCTTAAGGCAGGCCTAACGATGGGCTTAGGGCAGGACTAACGGTGGGCTTAGGGCAGGACTACCGGTGGGCTTAAGGCAGGACTAAAGGTAGGCTTAAGGCAGGACTAAAGGTAGGCTTAAGGCAGGCCTAACGGTGGGCTTAGGGCAGGACTAACGGTGGGCTTAGGGCAGGACTAACGGTGGGCTTAAGGCAGGCCTAACGGTGGGCTTAAGGCAGGACTAACGGTGGGCTTAAGGCAGGACTAAAGGTAGGCTTAAGGCAGGACTAACGGTGGGCTTAAGGCAGGACTAAAGGTGGGCTTAAGGCAGGCCTAACGATGGGCTTAGGGCAGGACTAACGGTGGGCTTAGGGCAGGACTACCGGTGGGCTTAAGGCAGGACTAAAGGTAGGCTTAAGGCAGGACTAAAGGTAGGCTTAAGGCAGGCCTAACGGTGGGCTTAGGGCAGGACTAACGGTGGGCTTAGGGCAGGACTAACGGTGGGCTTAGGGCAGGACTAACGGTGGGCTTAGGGCAGGACTAACGGTGGGCTTAGGGCAGGACTAACGGTGGGCTTTGGGCAGGACTAACGGTGGGCTTAGGGTAGGACTAACGGTGTGCTTAGGGTAGGACTAACGGTGGGCTTAAGGCAGGACTAAAGGTGGGCTTAGGGCAGGGCTAAAGGTGGGCTTAAGGCAGGACTAACGGTGGGCTTAGGGCAGGACTAACGGTGGGCTTAGGGCAGGACTAACGGTGGGCTTAGGGCAGGACTAACGGTGGGCTTAGGGCAGGACTAACGGTGGGCTTAGGGCAGGACTAACGGTGGCAGTGAGCTTTAGGTTGGTCTATTTTTGGGCTTAGGTTGATAACTATGCTAGCATTAACATCCACACACAGTGGCGTAGCGAGGTCGGGTGTCACCCCCCAGAGGCGTAGCGACCCTTCCCGGGGACAAACTTTCAAATCTTCTATTTGCATCCCCCCCCCTCAAACTTTTCTCTATATATTTTGCTATTTTTTTCCTTGGTGTCACCCCCCCCTCCTAAATGGTGTCACCCCGCCCCCCCCCCCCCCCCCCTCGCTACGCCTCTGTCCACACATACATTATGTGTTTCTTTGCAAGAAAACATGAGAATCATTAGCTGTTGATATAATTAAGGAAATTTATTTTGACCAGTTTTTTCGGTGGGCCTAGGCTACGCTAAATAAAAGGCCCACTCCTACTTTAAACCATTTTAACTGGAGTTTTCTTTGAAAAACAACAACTAAACCGATTGAACAATATTCGCAGCTTTCTATACGTATTAATGGCAGTACGTTGCCGCCTAGTGATTTTGTTAATAAAACGACTAACTGGGCCTGTTTGATGAATGACCAAGTGGGTTCAAGAAGCAGAAGTTTCAAGCTACAAGTTTCTGAAGCATTTTGCCAGCGTTTGTCAGATCTACTTATTTTACAAATCACTGCTCATGTGTTTGTTTACTTTGTTTTGCGCATCTTTTTAAAAACTTTGAACACGAGGCAAACGGCTCCACCAACCTGACCTCCAGTGTGGGGAGAGCGCAGGGAACTTCCCGCCATCTGAATAAACATTTGCAGGCAACTCACAGGCCTATTTAAAACACACACATTTCTTCTAAAAATACATCATGCCAGGTTTTTCACAAATGGGAGTTGAAATGGTAAATCCATCAGTAGAATTCTGGCTACCATCCAAGATAAGGAAACTAAAACGACAAGACTAGTACGGTACATTTTACACTTACAAATCCGGTACGGTTTTAAACAAATATTGAAATTGTCTAGTCTAGATTGAATCGATGGTGTTAAAAAAATAAACATTGACGGATCTAGAATTCGATTGTTTTGGGCTCTTGAGTTCAAGTTTTCACATGTACATTGGTAGGTGTCTGCATGTACCAGACTGACCAACGGACATTTGACCACATATGTAGGTGACTGTATGTAGCAGACTGACCAACGGACATTTGACCACATATGTAGGTGACTGTATGTAGCAGACTGACCAACGGACATTTGACCACATATGTAGGTGACTGTATGTAGTAGACTGACCAACGAACATTTAACCACATATGTAGGTGACTGTATGTAGCAGACTGACCAACGGACATTTGACCACATATGTAGGTGACTGTATGTAGCAGACTGACCAACGGACAGCAACCTGACCACAGTGGGAGCTGTGTCACCTGACCACAGTGGGAGCTGTGTCACCTGACCACAGTGGGAGCTGTGTCACCTGACCACAGTGGGAGCTGTGTCACCTGACCACAGTGGGAGCTGTACCACAGTGGGAGCTGTGTCACCTGATCACAGTGGGAGCTGTGTCACCTGACCACAGTGGGAGCTGTGTCACCTGATCACAGTGGGAGCTGTGTCACCTGACCACAGTGGGAGCTGTGTCACCTGACCACAGTGGGAGCTGTGTCACCTGACCACAGTGGGAGCTGTGTCACCTGATCACAGTGGGAGCTGTGTCACCTGACCACAGTGGGAGCTGTGTCACCTGACCACAGTGGGAGCTGTGTCACCTGACCACTGTGGGAGCTGTGTCACCTGACCACAGTGGGAGCTGTGTCACCTGACCACAGTGAGAGCTGTGTCACCTGACCACAGTGGGAGCTGTGTCACCTGACCACAGTGGGAGCTGTGTCACCTGACCACAGTGGGAGCTGTGTCACCTGACCACAGTGGGAGCTGTGTCACCTGACCACAGTGGGAGCTGTGTCACCTGACCACAGTGGGAGCTGTACCACAGTGAGAGCTGTACCACAGTGGGAGCTGTGTCACCTGACCACAGTGGGAGCTGTGTCACCTGACCACAGTGGGAGCTGTGTCACCTGACCACAGTGGGAGCTGTGTCACCTGATCACAGTGGGAGCTGTGTCACCTGACCACAGTGGGAGCTGTGTCACCTGACCACAGTGGGAGCTGTGTCACCTGACCACAGTGGGAGCTGTGTCACCTGACCACAGTGGGAGCTGTGTCACCTGATCACAGTGGGAGCTGTGTCACCTGACCACAGTGGGAGCTGTGTCACCTGACCCCAGTGGGAGCTGTGTCACCTGACCACAGTGGGAGCTGTGTCACCTGACCACAGTGGGAGCTGTGTCACCTGACCACAGTGGGAGCTGTGTCACCTGATCACAGTGAGAGCTGTGTCACCTGACCACAGTGGGAGCTGTGTCACCTGACCACAGTGGGAGCTGTGTCACCTGACCACAGTGGGAGCTGTGTCACCTGATCACAGTGAGAGCTGTGTCACCTGACCACAGTGGGAGCTGTACCACAGTGGGAGCTGTGTCACCTGACCACAGTGGGAGCTGTGTCACCTGACCACAGTGGGAGCTGTGTCACCTGACCACAGTGGGAGCTGTGTCACCTGACCACAGTGGGAGCTGTACCACAGTGGGAGCTGTGTCACCTGACCACAGTGGGAGCTGTGTCACCTGACCACAGTGGGAGCTGTGTCACCTGACCACAGTGGGAGCTGTGTCACCTGACC